AATATTTATTTATAATACAGAATAGGAATTTTAATTTTCTATAAGATTAAACATACAATCATGTAATAATGATAAAGACGACTTATGACTGAGTTAAGATATATGATTGGTGTTGCTCCGTAGAAACACTAATAATATTTCTTAATTTTGAATTCAAATTTAGTTTATTTGAGTATTTTTGAGAGTTTAAATATTTTATCTTTTTAGTGTAAAATTAGAAAAAAAACAATGATGAATAAGAATACGTTTAATTGGCGAGAATTTCTCCAATGAATATTTCTTTTCTTTCACTCACGTAATTGAAATTTTGTTTTTTAAAAGCAAGCTTTCACAAATATAGACTTATTAGAAACTTCATTGAGAACATTAAATATAAGTAAGTACAATATGTTTTTTTATTGATTTATTACAATCTTTTCTTCGATTAGAATGACATTATATCTTTAATTATCTGTTTTTTTTTTCAATAAACATTTATATTAATTGAAAAATGTCACGAGTGTAATATGTGCAATTGCATAGAACGTGACGCCCTGCTGCTTCTGAAATTCATTTATACAACACTCTCTCCTTGCTCTTAAGAATTGTCTACACAGTGTGTCGCTCCTAATGCTTCCAGTGTTGAGTAAGATTTCTGAAAAATGTATTCTATTGAGAATTAGATATGATAAAAAATCTATTGTCGCTATATGTTTTATTTCGTTTGATTTATTGAGAATTATTTTTCTAACGAACACATGATAATATCGATTTAGAAATAAATTAGAAAATGAAGAATACGAATAAATGTCAAAATATTCGAGTTTGATTTGGATTAAATTTCCTGTTCAGTAATTATTGATGTTCATTAATGCAATTTAGCTGAAAATAGGACAGTTTTTCAATAATTCTTCATTGTTTTTTTTTTTCTTTTGTATAAAATGTAATCTTTATCAAAATATGATTCTCTCTTGATGATACTGAAAAAAACAATTAAAATTAAACGTAGATTGTAAATTTGTTCATACTTTTAAAATGAAAATTTAGCAAAACTAAAAATCTTTCCATAGTACTGCTCAAAATTATAGGACCAGACTATTTTCCGTTTTTTTTACTATGATATCACCTCATGTCATCAAAATCGAGCAAAAATTGGCGATTATTCAAATAATATTTCTGACGATCCAATCTGGTTGTAGTATTTGGATCCACAACTATGAATGTATCTCGACATGTATACTAGTGTCGTTGATTATAGTGCTCATACATATTTTTCATAAACGAAGAGAAAAAGATGATCTCTTTCTTCCAATCCATAGTAAGCAATACAAAGAAATGTTTTTTTTTATTAAATAATACTTAATGTTGAAGTTTGTTGGAAATTTGCTGATTGATCGGCAAAAGTAATACGATTTCGCTGACAAGAGAAGTACCTAACTGAAATCCGAATAGTAATTTGAACAGCTAATAAAGTTCTCTATCTGATACGCGCTATATCAACGTTTCATAGTTGAACTATGTGGAAAAATTTTCTAACAAACCCAAAACGATAGTTTTTAGATTCCAGAAGACGTTATGGGAGTTCTTTTTTTAACAAACCGATATCAAAGTGCACACAATTCTAACCCATATCAGGGATTGTAATGTTTTTTACAAATTTTCATTACAAAGTTATAAGCATCTCAAAATATGAACAAAAGCAAAGTTTATCAAAACACCGTACTTTTTCTCTTTTTATAATGCTTGTAACTTTGTCATGGAAGCGCATAAAAATTGCTGCGATCCCTCATATTGCTCAGAACTATGTGGTCTTCTATATAGCATTGTTAAAAATGAACTTCTACATTGTCTTCCGGTATCTAAAAACTACATTGTTGAGTTTTTCAGAAAATTTCCCCAAATAGTTCAACTATCAAACTTTGATATATAGTACGTACGATAAAGAACTTCATTGGATATTCAAATTACTGTTTGACTTCAAGTTAGATACTCGACAGCAAAGAAAAGGAATAAAGAATACCTTGTGCTTATAATTTTAAGCAGTACTGTATTCTTAAATCCATGTAACTTTATTGACAAATAAACCATCATGTGGAAATAATCTTATGAATATATATATATATGTTGTAATTTATTATGGTTAATGAAAATGGTTGTCGATGGTTTATTATTTGAAAATAAAATTTTCTGAAAGGCACCATTTTTTGAAAATACCCATTTTTATTTCATTACTTTCATCTAGTGAACACTAATTTTTTGTTTTGTATACTCAAGATAATTATTGGGATATATTTCCTACATTACAAACGTATATTATGATACTATCGGAAATCATCTAAGGTCAGAGAAGACTATAAAACTTTGTCGTATTATTTGATTTAATAGAACTGTTTTGAGGTTTAGATGAAAATAATTAGCTTTTCAAAATGATTTCCGTAACGGAACGCAAATTATAAGAATGTAAATATAATTATTTGTATTAAAAAATACTGTAATGGAAAGTAATATGTGGTTTATTTTATGTAAATTAATAATTAATAATAAAGAGTATTCTTAAACAGAAAAAGAAGCATGTTCAATTAATTAGATTCATCTCATTATCCGAAATAAATTTCAGCATCTATTACAGACTGCTACGTGACAAAATCTTGAAAACGTACTTCTGTATTTTAATTTTAGCTGGAATCCATAATTAACTTTTGATATTTTATATTGGAGAAAATAACTTAATCAGAAGTACAATAAAATTTTTAACAAAAGATAATATTTTTTTCTTCTGATTTATATTTCTTAAACTAAATAAAACTTTTAAAAATTTAGTGTATTTTATTTCATATTAGAATTTTGTGTCTAAATTGTGATGATCATTTATAGTTAAGTTTATAAAGATAAACTAATTGTAAGCTACTAGTTGTATAAAGGAAATGAAAACAACAAGACAAAATTTCTAATCAACTGATTAGTTTGTTTCATTGGAATACTGAGGGTATATGCTTTATATTTTTCAAAACAAGGTTTTTTTACTGTATTTTTCATATAAGGATGCCTGAACAAATAGGTCGATTCTATCTTCGATTTCGATATATTTAACTTTTTATTTTATTAAGTAAATATTTAATATATGTTGCTCTAATATTTCTTAATCAATAAATAGAAAAAAAAATATTTACTATCTAATTTGAATTCTACATGATAGTTAACTTATCATTACAAATATTATATTCGAAGATTATGACAATTATTATCTATTTTGAATTCTAATTTATTATCAAGTTCATGAATTTGTGATAACTCATTTTACGCATTTATTTTCTATTCTTTGCGTACATTTTTGACTAAAAGCTTTTATAAAATTTAACATAATAGTTCTTTTCCTTTTTGCTTATGTCATCGAATACGAATATAGTTATGTGATTATTTCTTTCTTTCTCTCTCTCTCTCTCTCTCTCTCTCTCTCTCTCTCTCTTGCGCTTTTGAAATTCATTCATGCGTAGATGATTTTTGAGTGGTTATCAAAAAATTTCTTTTCATATTATTTTTTAATAACAGAGTGAAGAAAAAGAAATAGTTTATATTGTTATTTAAGAATAAGACGTAGAGATGATCTATTCAGCACGTTTGTACCAACGACGAGCTTTAACAGAATTACATTCCATATTCTGTAATTGAAAAAATACCAAACCATCAAACAAAAAAGAAATATGAGAAGAAACTTACAATCATTTGTTGCCCTTTATCATCGACATAACGGGTTACAACTGATTTTTTACCATTTTTATCAATTGACGTATGAATCCATTTATTACCTTCAAAGTTAATAGTTGACTAAAAAATTAACAAAACATCATAAAATAATCTCGATGAAAAATATAACTAACTTTAACTTCACGTCCATCAGGTGTTGTTTCATCAAATTCAACACCAGGTGTAAATTCATAAGTAACCGTTTTAATTGCACTTTCTGATCGTACAGTCCATTTACCACCTGATTCACTAATAGTAAGACGAGGCTTAATTCCTTTAGCAGTCATACGTAGTGCCCATCCAACACCAATTTCTTTCATATATTCATCAAAATTTTCACCATCGACCTATTAATAAGAATATAAATGTTTTATAAAAACATATTTTATACATACATAGTCCCAGTTGCCTTTAAGTCCTTGAACTCCACTACTATCCATTTGTGTATGTGTTTATTTGAAGGAAATAATGATAATGCCAAGACGAATCTAAACGAATATATATATATATATATATCAGTAGGATGATAGTAAATAAAGAGTTGAAATATACGTAAATATAAAAACATAGATGAAAAATATATAGGAATAACCGAAAGATAAATAATTTTAAATGGCCAATAACAAAGATATACATTCCCGACAGCTACACGTATATTTTAATAGATACAGCTCGAACAAATAGACGTCATCGTTGCCAATGAAAATGAAAGAGAAAAGAAAAAAGAAACGAGGAAAAAAATAAAACCTATTATGTTAAATATGCATGTGTATTGTGCCTTCTTCGGAGTTCAAATACGACGTTGAATTGCAATGCGGGTAGAGTATCACGTGATTGATTAAATAGCAAAGTTTTACGTCATATTACATGATGCATTAATAAAAATTTGTAAGAATGATTAAACTCAACAGTCACATCTCTTTTTGTGTTGATCTAATTATGACTCATGATTTATGTAGAAGAAAAAATACAGATTCACCGCCTCTTCAATCCAATCATAGATAATAAGTAAATAGCCTCAATAAAAGAATTGCTTTGAAAAACATCTGGTTTTTGTCCACTGATTCAATGAATTAATTCATTTTTTCAATGAATAATTACATAATAGTTACACATATAATGATGTGACTAAAAATAGATAAACATTATGTCAAAGTACATATTTTTTTCTTGATGATAGATTCAATTTAATAAGGCGAACTATAACCAATATACTGTTCGTATCTTTACAAAAATAATTTCGTAATAAAATATTCTAGATTGATTTTTATATATAAATGGCAGATGATTATGATCGATCAGTAGAATATTTTCTTAATCAAGTTCGTGTTGGACATTTACCATATGGCATAACTACTAAAGAAGTATCTGCGTTCTTTGAACGATTTGGTCCTATTATAAATTTATTTTTAAAACGTCGTATATCGAGAGATTCATCTGTTTTCTTATCTCATCCATATGCATTTATTGTTTTTGATAAATCAGATAGTGTTGATCAAGTAATGGCTGCACGACCATTTTTTATGGGTGATTGTCAGCTATTTGTACGACGTTGCTTGCCAATCACACGAAAATATCCATATGAAGCATTTCTTACCGTTAAGAAAATACTCATACGTACTGAATCAGAAAAGAACGATGAAATATTACCTGATGATAAAACAATTATTGAATATTTAACAGCAGCCAATGGTAAAATTGAATATTTTGAAAGACTTGACAATAAAACTGTCTTAGTTCAATTTGATGATTATGATCCTGTTGATATATGTTGTCTTTCAAGACCTCATTTGATTAAAAATCAACCAGTTGAAATTGAAAAATGTAGTGATGAAGAACAAGCTCGTCTTAGAATTGAATTTCAACAAAAGTAGAAGAAATATTTTATGATATTGATTTTAATTTCACTTTTATTTAGATCACATTCTGTTTCTACTGAACTTTCTTCCACTTCAATTGAATCTGATATTAATGATCAAACTATGAACACTAGTTCATCAACACCAACTTTATCAATTGATAATCAAATTACACAACTTCGATCAGCATATAACGATATAACAAATCATTTAGAACGGCAACATGAACAACTCGTAGCTTCATTGTCATCTGAATGGGAACAAACAGCAAAAGAACGTATTCGTCTTCAACGTTTAACATTAGATTATAAACAAGAATATGAACGACTTACAAAAGAAAATCGTCAATGGCAAAAATTATTTAGTGATAGTCTTCGAGAAAAACCAGATGTTCAAAATGAAGGTGAACGTAAATTGCAAGAAGCATGTAGAAAAACTTCAATAGCAATGACAAAATATAATGAGTTGATAAAAAATACTCAATAATAATTAAAATTGATTTGTCACAAAAAAACAATAATAATAATAATAATTATGACTGTTGCTTGTATGTGTATATTCCACTTTTTTTTTCTTTTGAAATGTCAGATTGCATGTTTCATCGGATGATTTTTTTATATAGAAATATACAAATATAATCTTGAATTCAACTTAAATGTTATTCTCTTAATGAAAGTGAAGAAAATCATTTTCATGGTATTTATTACTTTTCCTCTTATGAACCAACAGATATCAGTCAAAAATATGCATGAATTAAGAAAACTAACATATTGCCGAAGAGTAACTGCCAGTTGAGGTTTCATTTATTGCATATAATCTTTATCCAAGAACGAATCTGTCTCCAAGATCGTAGAATTAAAACAGAATCCTAGAAAAAATTCTAAAATTTAATGGAAATAATCAAACTACGGACTATTTTGATAAAAGAAGTTACACTTTAATACTTAGGTCTATCGATAGGTGATTGAACGATTCGTTGTAGGACTTTGTCGCGAGAAGTCTAGGATAGTTGCTCACTACGACACTTGCTCACATTGGTGTGACCGCGACATGGGTTTGGATGAGGAAAAGATCCAGACTACCACTCATACTTACAGCCACTTTCCTCACATTCACACTCGTGAACAAATGTCATAACCAGCAAATGTCCTGGTGAAAAACTGTTTGTCTTGCATAAAAATCTACGTTCACTTTCACTCAGCCACTTTCGATGTTCCTTCAGCATATTTTGAGACTGATATGCTATTCGACGACTTGGTCGTGAAGCCAATAGTCCTGCGACGAACTTTTCTAGTAAACCCCTCCTCGCAATAGAAGATCCTAATTTTTCTTCTATATCTAGGGGTAAAAAATTTCCAGAGGGGTCTTGTATTAATTATATACTATATTTTTTCCAATTTTTAGTTAAAATGGTTTTCCAGAAAACCGAGGCAATTTTTAGGATTTCCATTAGGATTTTAAGAGTCTAGACATAAGGGTGTGGATGTGGGTAAGGATGTGGAGGTATGTATGTAAATCTTCTCTTCAGTCACACGTACACCCATACACACACCCACACCCTGCAGTACATAGTTAGGACTTGAATTTTATGGAAAGAAATGCTTTTTTCTTATTGATCAGTGAAGGTAGTAGTTTCTAAATAGCATAATTAACGCTGCCATAGGTAACATTTGCTTGGAAAAAGACTCACATATTAGGAAAAGAAATATAGGAGCTTCTGATTTCAGTCGAATTCTATTTCAATTCTCTGATCTGCACTGTAGCCAATAATTTCAAAACTTGATTGGATTAATTTCATAGCCTTAAAATTATAAAGTCGCGATATTTGGATTTTCAGTAAAGTTTTTCAAAACTAGCTGTCTTGCCAATTAGTGATGCAAATATATGGGCAGAGCAATAAATCATCAAACCTACAATTACTTAAAACTCTGTGGCTGATCATGTACTCGAAGAAGCAAACATTCGCCATACCAATAATAGAATTCTCCTCATTTACGACTAAAGGGATGCAAAACATCGGCAGCTAAAGATACCGCATTGAACTAAAAAGTCCTAGTAAGTATGTGAAAAACAGAAGTAATCATGAAAAAAGCTATACATGAATCGGAGTTCTCTAAAATATTCTATCTATCTTAAAATAAATCAATAAAAGCTGACTTTTTTAAATAAAATACAAGCAATTTTTGGCTTAGTAGACTTCTTACGCAAAAAGATTCATACAGTTTGCAGCAGTGCAATATATAGAGAACATCAATCCTACCTTGATGTGAGGTTTATTGCTCATGTTTGAGACTTAACGAAGGAAATGCTGCTGAGTCGAATAAAGAGGGTTCTATTCAATTCAATTCAATTAGGTAGTATCTTGATTCAGATTTGATTAGATTTGGCTTAGGCGAATTGAATCAAATTGTGAAATAATTCAATTCTGTCTCGGCCTCTGATACCTAATTCGAGTTCGAATATAAACGCAGAATTTAGTGGCACTTTCAATTCAGAAATAAATTTTAAAAAATCGAAAAGATACTTTCATTTAAGTTTAGGAAAAAATAAAAGATGAAATTTTATCTCCATTATAATTTATGATTTGAGTTTAACCAGCAGAATCTTGAGAGAATGTCTTGAAGATCCTCACTGGTTTTCCAGGAGATTTGATAATTTCTACACTTGTAAAAAGACAATCAAATAAAAATTTTTGATTATGTTCTATAAAGATAAAGTGAATATTTTTCTTGTTATTTTATAAATCAAACACTTAACATCTAACAATTTTTCTTCAGAATTTCTTATATTTCTTCGTGTTGTTCTGTTGCCTTCACGATCATGTCACAGAACATGTTTTCTTTCCTATAAAGACATCTATCGAAGCAGAAAGACACAAGTAAATAAAAATTCAAGGTTAAGTTGACGTTGTTTTGCCATTAAACATTTCATCTTGTATTTTAAAGAAACACATATGAGTCTACAAGCTTATGTCACAAGACTTTTTAAATTGAATACTAATTATTTATATGCCGAACAAGCTTTCAATCAAGCATCATCACTTCAAACTCTCTCAGACGATTTATACACAGATTCACTTCGATTTGTTTATGAACTTGTACAAAATGCCGACGATGCGTCAAGCGCACATTTACAAATTTCTTTAATTGAAAATAATTATTTAATCGTTTCTCACGATGGTAAACCGTTCGATGACAATGATGTACGTAGTTTATGTTCAGTTAATAATAGCACAAAAATTTGTAACAGCCACGCAGCAGGTTATAAAGGATTGGGTTTTAAAGCAATCTTTGGAAAATCGGATTATGTATTAATTGTAACTAATGACGAATCATTTCGCTTTGATGCTCAATATAAATTTAGATGGACATGGCTAGATATCAATCAAACAACATGGGAACATGATAATAAACGAAAGTTTATTTATCCTTGGCAAATTTGTCCTATTTGGACTGAAAATCACAAAATTCCTGAATCTATTCGTACTTGGCTTTCAAATAGTAAAACTAAAATGTCAGTAAATATTATTATACGTTTACGTAATGTGATCGAAACACAAAACGCACTGGAAGAATTGGCACTCCAACCACAAACATTTTTATTTCTACAACATATTCGTCATGTAGAACTCGGAATACCAAGAACAACAATCATACGTATAGAACCACAGCCTGATGAATCAATAAGATTGTCACATAATAAGAATCAAATTTCTCATTGGCTTAAAAATCAAAGAGAAATCACTATTCCTTCAGAAGTGCTTAGAGACACTCGTCTACCTGAAAAACTACATAATGTTCCATCAACTACAATAAGTCTGGCTGCTAAACTTGATAAAAATAAGGGAAACACGTTCATACCTGTTTCAAATAAAGATAGCATTCTCTTTGCTTATATGCCAACGAAAATTTCCACCTATAATTTGCCATTACTTGTTAGTGCTAATTTCTTAACTAATGCAAATCGTGAACAAATCCATACGGATTCAATTTGGAATCAATGGCTTTTTGAATGTATACCTCGTGAAACATTCAAATGGATTAAAAAATTAATGAAGCAACCAAATTGGAGAAATACAGCCTATGATCTTTTACCTATACGTACTCTGAGTCGGGATAAACTCGCAAATAAATATAATGAGAGTTGTTCAAATGCTCTGATTCATACGAAATTTATCTGTAATACACATGGAAAATATCTATCTTCAAGTGAAGCTATTATCGATTTGACTCGTCTTTCGAATCAAAACTTTATTGGTATTGAGCCTATTCGACTATATTTTTCTCATCAATACCGTCAGAGACTACAGTCTTTGCCATTACATCCATTTGTTCTTGATAATCTTCGTTTAAGAGAAATTGGTGTTCGAACATTCACTTGGGAACAAGCGATTGATATGTTTCAATCGAGAGAATTTCAAGATAAGTTTTCAGTTGATCATAATATCAAATTAATATCATATTTATGTGATTTGCAAGCTGATCAAGAGATTTCAAAATTATTACATCAGATGCCATTTATTATGGATCGCAATAAATGTCTTCAAATCCCAACTAATATCTATTTTCCATCAAAATTTAACGATATAAGTTGGTATAGTTGTAACACACAAGAAGCTTATGTACATGACGATCTAATGAACGAACTTCAAAATCATCACAAAAAATGGCTTGAACAACTTGGTGTAACTACTAGAACGGATTTGAGTTTTTTTCATCATACTATTATTCCTCACGCTTCGACATTTATTAATGTTGATAATGCTCTTCATTCTATTCAACGATTATTTGATCTCTATGTAAATGGACAAATAACTGGCGATGATTTGAAAAACCTTAGAGAATTGTCGTTATTTACCAAAGCTAATACTTTAGTACCAGCTAATCGTCTATATTTATCTTATGAATACAAACCTTATTTATCAATTGATGATTTGTTTCCTACAATGCCTCATCTGTTTGTTTCAACTTCTTATATGCAAAATATTTTTCATATGGAATGGAAACATTTTTTCCTTTTACTTGGTGTTCAAGAAAATATTGCTTTGATACCATTAAATGATAATTGTAGATTATTTCAAAATTATCATGAAGATCAAATGAGAATTATTTTTGGTTTAAATTCAAATCAAGTTCATAGATACAAATATCAAATGACTATAACATTTCTTGAATTTACTGAAGACAATTTTAATTTTGCTGATTTTTTTTGGCATAATGTTATACAAAAACTTAATATACATGATTTAACTCGATCTGAAATAGCATATTGGGGACAACAACATAAACGAGGAGCAACAATCGGCTCAGAAGTAAACAGTTTTCCGGAATGGTTTGTTCTTAATCGACCATGTATACCAGTTCAAATTTTATCAAACGGTATAAATCAAAGACAATGTCTTAAAAGTATTCAGGTTTATAGTAATCGACTAAGTTCATTGACTGGTCGTTATTTACCTATATTTGAATATAAGTTGAATGCAGAAGTTTTAAGTGATGAATGGCTCAAGTTCTTTAGATTTAAAACAGAATTATCAATTGATGATTGTATTTATATTCTTCATCAAATTTATGTTCAAAATAAGATAGAAGTCCATTTCGAGGATGATATGCGTATTCAAAATATCTATGCTCATCTTTTACAAATACTCTTCAATACAAATACTAATCAGCATAAATTATATCGTGAAAAATGTCAATCGAAGAATATATGTTTTTTAAGTGAGCGTGATAATCTTTTTATGCCATCTGAAGAACTGAACTTCTTGTCAATTGATACTTTTCAATCACCATTTGATTTGCATATATTAAAGTTAAACGCAAGTAATCGTCAACATAGAAATTTATCGTATCTATTGTATATATTCAATATTAATCACATCGAAATGAAAAATTTAAATTTAATACCAATTAATGCTGCTCCGTGTGATGAACTAACTAATTGTTTACAAAAATCTTACCTTTCATTATTATTTGATTTTTGTAAGATTAAAAAACAAGAAAAATTAAATCAATTGGATGGTATCCGATATTTTGAAGCTGATCGATTGGAACTTTATATAGATAAATTAAATAAATTTGTTGGTAATCCATCCATTCATGTAAACAATAATTGCATATATATTACAAGACCATGGAATTCTAATTCAGTTATTAATTCCTTAACAATAAAACTATGTGAACTTCTTAAGGTACCTATTCAAGTATTTCAAACACACATACGTACTCTATTGACAACTTCGTCTACTGATGATTACTTTATTCAACTTGGAATTCTTCCTGCAAATGACAATTCATCAAATGATCAAATTACTAAATTAATTGGGCATGATAATCTTGAACTATTTGATCGATTACAACACTTATCATCATCATATACTCCTGCTCAATTACTACTTGCTGGTTTAGAAGCACAAAATCTATCTTGGACTGGATATATCTATCATTATACACATTTAGAAAATGCTGTTTCAATTTTACGTGATCACACATTAAAATCTCGTCATTTTTGTCAAACGAATAATTTTAAAGATTCATCTGCTTATGACTTCATGTCACAAACAGATGATCAAGTTAATCATTATGTTCGCTTTTATTTTCGTCCATGTACATCGACGCAACTCAATAATGAAAATCTTGGATCTAATAAAAGCAAAAAACGTAATAATTATACACCAATATGTCCAGTACCAATATTCTTTTGTATAAACCTACGAACAATCCTTATCATACCAAATTTGAAATGGAAAGTAAGCATACGTGATATGTCTAGTCAACATACAGAATATGATTGTACAATGGATATTATCAAACAATTTGATTTTTGCGGTTTATTTAAAGATTCAGATATTAAACGTTGCAAACAACTTGAATTTTTAATTGAAAATCAACTTGATTTTGAACTTTTACCAAATGATGCTATTAATCTTATTTTTCAAGATTCTGATGCTAAGAAGAGTTTAGAATCTATGTTACCTGAGCAAATTTATAATACTGAAATAAAAAGAAATTATTTTTTTGGAAAAAATAATCGCGTATTTATTAATCATGATTCTCAACAAGATCATATTTCTGTTATGATTAATCGTGAAACACAGCGTAAAGATGAAATATTTATTGTTCAAATTAAATCAAATGATAATAAACAAACAATTGATCTAGCATGTAAAGGTAGTGTTTATGCTATATTTCATTATGATCGTATAACAACAGTTTATGGAAAAGAAAAACAACTTGATGTTTTCGTTGGTAAACAACCTTATGCAGTTTATTATAAATATGAACAACAATTATGGCTTATATATACAAATCATAATAAACCTGATTTTGACGATTCACATATTAAACAACATAGTGAATTTATACCATATGATTAACAAGTGATATTGATAGAGACAATTAGAAAATAATCGAACACAATGAACTAATATATAAATTATATGTTTAGTTTTAGGTCTAGTTACTTCGATAGTTAGTTATATCTATATGTTGAATAGATAGTTATAAAATTAAATTAAATTAAATGAAGATCAATATAGAAACAGTTTGATCTCATAAAAATATTTTGTTTTTATATAATCAACAAAAAATGGAATATTTCTTTAAAAATTAGTTGATAGTTAATTAAATATTCAGTCCAAATATTAAAACTATCGTATTAAATTTATTGATTTTTATCATCGGATCTAACATTTGTATCATCAACAAGACATAAGAAATGTCGTGTTTATTTAAAAAAAAAATAAAATTTTGTTTGAGAATCATATTAGAACCAATAGAATAAAATACTGTATTTTTAGATCATATGATTTAAATTTCATATAGTCACTAATGGACTGAAAGAAATAATATAAAATCATCAGAATATTCAATCATAGTTTATCTAAATATCATTGTGATTGTTATTTTTCTTATTACCTACAAATATCTATAGTATATATCAACTGATTATTTTACAAGTCTTATAAATCTACACTATTTTTTAAAGTAATCTAATTGTATTCATCAACTCTAAATAATAGATTATATATATTTTTTTGTTATTATCTTATTTTTTATCCGAAATATGTGTAGTACAACTATATATGCTTTTTTTCTTTATCGGAATATTCCCTGAGACTTTGGACTAATACTCAAATTGACACAATGAAACAAGAACGATTTATTTCCTGCTTCCAAGAAAACAAGTCATCGTTCTTTTCTTTCCAACTATTCGTATCAATTATGAGAGAAAAACATATTTCCTACAAATAATAACATTCAAGGTTAGTTTTATTATAGAACATTCAAAAACAAAACTACGAAATAAATAGTTTTGTCTTGTGAGTGTATAGAGTAAAAATATATTATTCCATTTAAACTATAGAACAAATTTAATAAAAGTAAAAAACAAATTGTTTTTTGTTATACAAAACAATATTGCGCATATCAATTTATTTGCGTTGGGGTCGAAATAATATCAATACAAAGTGTACGCGCAAAAACGATTACAGAGATTAACGATTTCTTGTGAAGAATATTTTTCTTTTAATCCTCGTTTTTTTTATATGAAAATATAATTTTGAAGGATATGCAACGTATCAGTACTTTAAAATTGTCAATATTTGTCCTTCATCACGTGGTATCTTCGTGTTAAACGAAAGATTTATTTTTTCTGATTGTTTTTATTTCACATACCAATTACAACATTGTTAAATAATGTCATTATCGTCGTCGTTAGTAGACCTACCACGGGAAGTAATTTATTTAATTTTTCAATATCTTAATAAAGAACATATTGCTTATGCATTCTTCGGATTAAATAAATATTTTACATCAGCTGTAAAATATTTTATTGGTCAAGAACTTAATTTAACAAAAGTTACTAATGAAAAAATATTTCAATTTTGTTTATCAACTCTTTTACCATCAATTGGATATAATCTTCGATGTTTATCAATTGGTTATCCATATACATTATCAACATATATTAGATATATTCAAAATTATTGTTCTAATTTGGATATACTTAATATTTATTGTTATTCAGATATAGAAGACATACGTTCTTATGCAACTTATTTAATTCATCATCAATTAATATCCTTTATTTTAATGTATAATAAAAATATTGTTGGTGAAGAATTAAGTATTCGTTTAATTAATACATATGAAGATGAAGAATATCGTGCTATACCATTAACATCTTTTCTTATTTTAAATTTATCATCTATGAATGATTTGATTTTATTAAAACGATTTTCTGAAAGTAGCTATTTATCAGATGGCTTATATATGATTGAATGTTTATCAACGGGCGAATGGTTTACAGATAGTAAAGATGATTTATGTATTATGTCGAAAAAACTTCATCGTGATAGTATTTTTTCTATTAAACAAATTGACACTGATCGATGTTCTCGAGAATATGAATTATATAATGAAGGAACTCAACGTCGATTAACAGTCTTAATACCATATGAAGAAGGAGAACGTTGGATATCTTCATCAATTCTTTCGACACATCGAAAAGAAACTTCACATTCATGCTCGAGTTTTACATTTGAAAGAATTGGAAATGACAATCAATTATACATTCGACCATGTTATGCAAATGCTAGACGACTTCAAGTATCTGGTAAACGAATTATTGTATCTCTTTGTGATAATCAAAATACATTAAGCCATCGTTTCAGACTTAACTATATATCATGATCTTATCATTTATGTATATTAATCTTTTTTTGTAGAATAAATCGATCTAATAAGAGAATATTTACGTTTAACATAATATTAATATTGGTCAATTCAATAAATAATAGCCGGATTATGTGTAATCACCAAATATTCTTACTGCGTAATTATTAAAGTTTTGTCTCCTATCCATGTGAGTTTTTCACAGGTGATTTACAATAACTATTCTTAGCACGTTTTATCGTTGTGAATGCAAATTATTTCCACATGTCTACTCCTACATCATTATCATACTGAGAATTTAAAAACTGAGAAAAATTTCATCGAATTAATCTAATTTTTCAGTATAATCAACGCTTGATGATTGAAACTGTTAAAATAAATATCGATTTTTTTGTTATTGTTATATTTTATAGATAGAATCATATTGATTATTATCGTTTTTGTAATTAATTCGAACATTTTGACGTACCCATAACTGAGACTGATAATTTTTTTCACGATTAGCTGAATTAAATTAACACGAAACATTTATCTATCTTCAATGTGTTCTTTTTATTATATGCTTCATTAAACTGAATCTCATGACTATCCAATAGAAAGATAAAAAAGAAAACGTATATCATATTGAGTTACCAGAAGAGAGCGAGTACATGAAAAACAATACAAGACTATACATAGGATAGTTTCAAGCGGAGATGGGCACGATTCCGTTTTGGAACCGAACTGAATCGATCGATTCGGTTCGGTTCGGTTCGGTTCATTTTTTGAAAAACGCGAACCGTGCCCATCTCTGGTTCCAAGTGTAAGCATAGAAAACAAATAAAGAGCGATAAAATAATCGAAAATGACACCAAAGCTTAAAAACATGAACATATCGTTGACAAAACAATTTAATCTAACGTGAATTCAAACACACACCCGCTACCTTAATAGTTGTCACACACATGTCACTGCTAAGAGATCGATAAAACAATCTATTGATGAGCAAAACTCAATGTCTCGAGACCTATCATAAGAACTATATCAAAACGTCTCCAGTCAAATAGAGGATATTCATCTTTAATAGAAAAAAACAAATGATCAAATCAATTAACTAAACAATATGAAGATTTGCCCTCATAGCAAAAAGCTTTATGAAGAGTTTTCTATTGGGAAATAGTTGGTATATTCTAGGATGCTTAACTTAAATTAATGAATTAATTATAGGTTAATATTGCATGATAGACAAAAACGCAGTATTCTGATAGATCGTTGAAGATTTAACAGCATTTATTGTGAAAAAAAGTAAGTTACTCTAGAACAATATCGAAAAAATGAATAAGATAAAAAATGATTGTTCTGAAAAATGCTAGACATGTTTATCTATTTGAAAATGATCAAACAAAAGTTCGATTCACTTTATTAACTCCTATAATATGTAAGACAATCCAAAAATAGTAACGACAGTAGTTTATTTCTACATAGAAAACTTAAAAATTTTCTTTACATGTACTAATAGCAAAAGACAATGCTCTGTATTTGTCATATACTTGATCATTCCCTCATTACCCTAATAATAATAAAATTTCAATAAAAACTGTTTGTTATAAGATGTCACGATAACATCAAATCATATTGCTTTTTGTGTATTATTCCTTTGCTCTTCTTTTCGTGCATTTACATGTGGGTGTTTGTTATACTTTTCTCTCACTCACATCTGTACTGTAACCCACCACATTCACAAAGAAAAGAGAAAAAGGATAAGATGTATTGAAGACAATAGAGTCTGATATTATCGTCATATATCATAACAAGCAGCTCTTATCGAAATTTTATTATTTTGATATTAGTTGAAGAATGATTAAATACTAGAGAAACATTGGAACTTTTTTTTTACTATCACTACATGTAGAAAGAATATTTCCTCAAGCTTTTCTGTACGAATACAAACTACCACATTTGAATTTTTCTAAGTACATTAATTGACTAAGTCCTTTACCACACAGTGTTTTAACGTTAATAAGTTAAATATAAGGTTTCATGATATGAGTGTTGATAAAAATTTGATTTTTGTGCGTCAATTTTTTCTATTATAGTCGACAATTCACTAATTTGAATAAGAGTTAAACGATCTCATAGCATTTCATCGACTTTCTTTGACCAATTGTTAGCTTTATTGAGCTTATTCTTCAACGGCACCGTATATGAAATGCTCAAAATGTTATAGACAATCACGAATCGTCATTATTCCAGCAAGTCTTTGAATTCTTACTCAAAGCCGTTAATGTAGGCATATTCTCATCTACGTCATAACCATATTGACACTTTGCTTAAATGTTTTTGTTTTCCAGATGACTTTCCTATTTGAATTTATCATTGCTAATTACATTTCATCAGCATTCATTTCAGAAATGTCCCATGTAATTCTGTCTCAAGTATGCAGTATATATTACCCTCTTTGTTTGAATAATGTATATTTATCAAATAAACAAACATAGGAATTTATTTTGGCATGTCACGATCTTTTTAAAGATCGGGAAAGAAATGTAAATATTTCTTATATCAATTGAAATAGGATTATATTTTTTCTTCATTAAGAAACCTTATAGTAATAAAAAAATGAACAATGTATCTGATTGAAGTTATGCATGATCAAAATGTCATATATTTTTTATTTTGCTGTCACATGGTACATACACCTGTTTTTCTTTTCTGCCTTTTTATTTGTATAAGAAAAGCGAACGTAAACGATACGATAGCGTACAATGCTTACTCATCTAATATAAGAATTTCTTTTTGTTTATTTAATGGGATTAATCACAGAAAGAAAGCGAAATTTCTTTGAAGCGTTTTATTATAATTTTAATAAATGTTTTCGACTTAAACAAAGAAATAGTCACCATGATCGGAATTTGGTTTTATAAATCTTCAATGATTGTTGTCGAAATAAAAAAGCATACTTTGAACTTTTTGTTCTTGTGTGAAAGAAAAGGAAATTTGAACAAAAAGTTAATTTCTTGCGTGAAATAAAGCAGGATTCTTGGCTTTTTTTTTACAATCATGTGCATCTATTGTCAATATCCAATGAGGACTAATATCGACGTCAGATTGCATTAAAATCACTCTGATCGAAGAATATGATCCGTATACTGTCGTGTATAGTCAAAAATGGCACATTAACGAACCCGTATTTTCTCATAAATATAGGGTCAGTAATATGATCTTATGTGTAATAGAGTAAAGCAAAATTACAACGTCTTCACAACTTTTTACGGTAAGAATACGGATCGTATACGAACACTAATACTGAGCATGTTCTTAAGCCACAACATGGCTTATAAAATAATCATTTATGGTAATTTTACGATGATTCGTAACGATTAACCTGGGCAATTTTTCCGCGTTTTTATTTGCAATAGTGAAGACAAAATACATACTTTTTATTCAGTTTATAAAATTTTAATATCAATGATTGATAGATTAACTGAACTTTCTAAACCTTGTCAATCGTCAACAAATATCAACCAAAGTTGTGAGAATCTATTTTTATCAAAATTTTTTATTGTAAGGTTTCATTTCATTTCAATAAAAAGTTCCAAAGGCAAAAGAAGGAATCACCATACAATTTCGAAGTTGCAAACTTGAAAATTATTATTTTGATCATATAGTCAATATTTTTTTCATTCTTTGCAAAGATCTTTCTTGCTCGATAAATTGATGGCACATCAATTGTTAAATTCATTAGATAATTTGGCTAAGTTTGTTGACTTTATTGTATCATTAATTTTCCCCTGAAAATATATTCTACTTATTCAATGAAATTCCTTAATATATCACAATCATCTTTATTTATCCTAAACCAATGCTATTCAAATAAGTGGTCTACAACAATCAATATCGAATCATTCAGACTAGTAGTAATCGTCACATACTACTAGTAGATTTGTTAATCTTTCATTTGATATAAAGTCATCGTATTCAACATATTCACATTATTCATCTCATTGATTGAATGAATAACTTCTATGAACAGTTGAATTACTCTTTCTCTTCCAAGTAGAACAGTCATTCAACGATTCATAGAAATAAATCACTCAATCGATGGGATTTACCTTGCTAGTTTCATTTCATAATGCGATGAATTATTGTTACATTGGGACACAAGGAATAATTCATTGCATTAACAAAAACAGTTTATGTGATGTCATTTTCTTTCAGTTTGCTGGATCTGGATGTCTCAATATCTGAAACAGAAAGTATGCTGTGAGAATCTTTGTACAGTACATGTTGATATTATTGATATGTATTGGTCAGGTTATCAACAGGCATAGTTCTAATATGTTATTAATAAGATAGAGTCTCTCTGTATGTGTGCGTATATTCTTTCAAATAGAAAGATCAGTCTTATCAATTCAAATAATTTATTTTTCTGTACAAACAAAAATCGATTACAATATTTTCTTTATCAATTCAATGTTATTTTTATATAGCAGAATATCTTGATGATTTTTAGGTAGTGAATGCTCTGCAATTTCAAGAGCACGTTGATGCAGTAGGAGAGCTTTCGAAAAGTCTCCTTTTTTACCGTACAATATACCAATGTTATTGTAAGAAGTTGCCAAATCAGGATGATTTGGAGAAAGACTATTTTTTCGAATTTCCAATGCTTTTTCGTACGCTGAAAGTGCATTCGAGTAGTCACCCATTCTGCTGTAGACTAAACCAATATTGTTGTAAGAAGTAGCCAAATGAGGATTATATGTAGGAAGATTTCCTTGATAGATTTTCACTGCTTTTTGATGAAATGAAATTGCTTTCGAATAATCGCCCATCTGACCATAAACCAAACCTATATGGTTGTAAGAAATAGCCAAATCAGGATGATTTGGATAAAGATTTTTTTCGTAGATTTCTAGTGCTTTTTGATGAAATGAAATTGCATCCAAATAGTAACCCATCTGGCCATATGCCAAACCAACATGATCATAAGAATTAGCCAAATCAAGATGATTTGAAGGAAGAGTTCTTTGATAGATTTCCAGTGCTCTTAGATGAAATGATAACGCAGTTGAGTAGTTAGCCATTTTCTCATGCACGACACCAACGTTCTTGTAAGAAGCAGCCAAATCGGAGTTCAAGGGAAAGTGAGTCCTTTGTTTGATTATAATTGATTGTTCATAATAAGCAAGAGCATTGGTATATTCACCTTGACCATCTTTCACCCATCCGAGCATATGATAAACATCTGCTTTTTCTGGATCACTGTTTGCTTGATCAATCAGCATATCATACACTTCTTCAGCCTTGTCGAACTGCTCAAATTTAACCAGTAGCATACCCAATCGATCCCATCCTTTTAGATCAGGGTAGGTCTCGTTTCTGATCTGTTCTCTAAGATAATGCAGTTTCGGTTCGTTGCGATTTGTTAGCGTGAGATCTACTTTCCAGAGTCGATTTTTGTTTATTTGTTTGATTCTGACAATTCGAAATGTGGAATGCATGGAGAAAAGAATTTCTTTTTTCTTAGAATAACTGACATTACGGATATTGGCAAATGGTACAGAAGCGATGGACGGGTCAATATTCATGACGAATAAGATGCCCACACGATTTGGAATTTGAATAATATCATGAAGGTGATTGACAGATTCTTGATAATTCTTAGTAGTTAATAAAAAGTTATTAAATGATAAAAAGCCACCTTGTGCTTTATTCAACTGGTTAAAGTCTGTCTGTGACAAGGCTTGAGCTAGATAGACGGTAAATGATTTCAAATGTGCCTGTCCAGCGTATTGTTTCGCATGAAGTGCGGTGATATGGTCCTGGAGATCTCGAATGAAAAATCCCATGCGCATAATTACATCTACTTCCAGCAGACGTATTGATCGATTAAGCATTGGAGAAAGAAAGCAAGGGTAAGTATACCACCAAATCGCGAGATGTTGTTTGTATGTTTCTTCGAATTTGCCGATATTCTGAAGTTCTATCGGATCCTCGGCAAAAACTTGGCGACAGTACGTAATAAAATCATTGAAATAATGTTTCTCGTAATGGATGGTTAATAGAATTTCTTTTATTATCTGAGTGGATATAAACGATGAATCCGATTGATCCAGATGTCGTTTAATGGTCCCATGATCATTGGGGATAAATTTAATTGAGATCAAGCTTCGGTCGCATTCGTCTATCTCTTGCTTAAGGGCTCCACAGATGGGTGTAATATGCGTAAAGATACCTTTTACTTTCGGCCATTTTCGGGTCCATGCTTTATGCAGGGCTTGGTTTACACAAAAAATATAGATACTGTTAATCTGTGGTTTATTGTGTATGATGGGAACCACTATTTGTCCCAATGCACCAGAAGTGATCAAAAACATTTTCGTATCTTTGATACTGTCAATAAAATTAATACATCTTTTAACATCACCGAATATAATGGTCTTGTTTATCACTTTTTTTAATTTTGAAACAGTATTCATAGAATCTTTACTATTCATTTGATCGATGTTCCCATCAAGCCAAATCACCATAAAGTTTTGAATGCTACATGCATGGAGTGTTGCTTTTATGGTCATATGTTCAACTGGTATAACAGAAGTAGTAAATGGTTTTGTTGTTGGATTTGTGTTTCCGTAATACATTGTGCACTTGAATAAAATTACGGAATTAAATGATGAAGAAAAAATGAAAACAAAAACACGTCTGTGTTTTTAGTGAAGTATTTTTCGTTAGTAATGAATAAAAAAGTGAAGCATAAAAATATATCGATACTGTGTAATTATATATCGTTGTTAAAAAGCAAATCACATCAGAGAAAAACAAACCTCTCATTTATTCTTGTTTCTCTCTTGCACTTCTTTCATTAGTTTCTCTCTCTCTTATCATATCTCGTTCTATACTAATTTATACGTAAAGATGAGAGAGTCATCTGTGATTGCATCAATATGCATGCACAGGAAAGAAAGAAAAAACAATTCATATCAATGTCTAATAGGTCATGAAGCAGTTCTATGTATGTCTTTTTTCTCAAGGTAAAATGAAAAAAAATACTCCCCTGCATATATTATGAAACTACGTTATTTGAAAGCAAAAATCATGTGTCTGATTTTTTTGTATATATTTTATATTGATGATTTATTTTGTCCCTTGTATTTATTCAAGGTCATAATATATGAAAACAGTACTCAATATGATTTTATAACTTGTTGTTATTGTTTTTAACAGATTTTTCGACAGTGTAAGTGTGAAAATTGAATACCATGTGATAGTCATGCACAAACGTTATAGCAGACGTTCTTTTCTTTTTGTATCATTCAATTTGCTGTTGTGCATAGAGAAAACTAAGAGTAGATACGTCTACATTAGTCATTAACCGTTACATTTCACTTCGCTTCCTATATCTTATCTGTGTGACTTTTTCTTGACAGTGTTGACCTTGTTGATGTGCCACTTTGAAGAGACGACTGTGACGAAAATCAGTGCGTTGGTAAACATGCTAAAAAGCTATAGTTATGAATGATATTTTGTTTAGTTTAAACTTCTTTTACATAATGGTGGTTGATGGTATTAAAAACTTGTCGTCATCATGGGTTTTTAACAAGTTCATCTATTTCATGATTAGACAAGTTATCTCTTCATATTTTTTATCAGTTTAGATATGTAAAATTAGGATAGATCTGAATACTTATTTAGAGACAGTCTCCCACACCTACATCATTCCAGTTATATGAATAAGCTGACAAATAAAAACAGAAATATCAAATTCTTCCATTCCTACACTAAAACAGAGCGTGAATGCTAATTTCACCAGTTTTGTTGATTTCTGCAAGATTTCGTCAAAGATTCATAATTATACTAGTTATTGAAATGTTGTGAATTGCATACAATTATTTGGAACTAAAATACATACGAATCTTCAATGTGTTGTATAAATTCAGACGAGATGAACATATGCACTCTCCTTCGAGTTATTTTGACATGATGCTTCAGAAAATGAAGTTCGAATAATCAGTTATTCTTTGTAGTACGTCCATATCAATCTCACATCATACACTTAGCATAAAATAGAACATTCGTATAAAACACTTTAAAATCATTATATATGATAAGTCACCAACGCAACACTCATGATTTGTCGTGATAAACTGGGGATCATTTGCAGTTTTTTTTGCAAAATAACTATTATTGCAGTTGAGAAATAAAGAAGATGCAGCTTTGATAATCACATCTTAAATAAATATTTTTACATTTGTTTTGTAATTAAAAAATATTTTTAAAACGTTACGTGGGAAAACAATCGCTGCAGACGTAAAAAAACCTACTGAGATGTTGTTTGCTGCATATTCCAATGTTTATTACACACATAAAAGAAAGCATCTAATAGTTTGACAGTGCTTAGAACAAAATATTGTCGAGAATAGAAAACTCTTTCTTTCTCATGTTATTTCAGGTTTTTTGTGAAATTTTTCCCGATCTCTATCAATTGTGACACTCCAAACCTTGGCTTTTTTTTTATTGAACATTATTGTTTACGACAATTAGTCTTTGTGTTGTCTATTAGAGCATTAGTAAAATATCTTATAAATGATATATAAAAGAAAAGATTTCAAAAAATAAAGTAATAGTAACGGTGATAAAAATGGGAACCCGAAACTTGCGCACAATATAAAATTTTATATTTACAAATGAGTAATCATATAATCCAATCAATCATGAACTGTAATGATTAGACGTAGAGGGTGTGGAGTGTGGATTGTTGGTGTCGATTTAAAGAAGATACACACCGACACCCTTTCACAACGCCAATAAGTTTTTGTGTCTGTTCGACGATCTTTACTATATAAATAACCATCTAATATCATTAAAGGACGACCTTTTATGGTAGTAGTGAATTCGGCAGGAGTATACATATTTAAGAATAATTGATAATGAACTGTTTCGAATGTGAATGATAATTTCTCATATATGTGACACATTCGTTCTCAAAATGAGTTCATATTAATGAGATCAAACTATCAAAAAGTTTACGTCATAATCATTACAGTTTATGATTGATTGGATTATATGATTACTCATTTGTAAATATGAAATTTTATCTGGTGTGCAAGCTTCGTAGATCCGATAAAAAGAAATGTCATTATCTATCACATATTTCACTATTGCTTCAATGCATTGATAGTGACATTAATAAGTTCATTATTTCTATCACCACTTAATTCCCAAAACATAACTCCACCCAAACATTCCTGTTTGATATAATCACATTTCAATTGAATTGATGTTTCATCATCAAAACTAATCCATATACCTGTTGACGAATTGTAAAGAAAAGGTACTTTAGACGCATCATCCCAATAACGTGATGATGATGAACAAAAACTATGTTTAATATGATCATAATCAAATACTCCATTTTCCCACGTACCCACTGGTAATTGACCAGATGTTGACTGTGAAAAACCATTTTGAACTGTGCTTGTTACACCTATACATTGAAAACATTTTCAACAAAAAAATTTGAGACAGAAAAAAACGAGCGCTATACCAGTCCAACCTCGACCATAAAGAGGTATGCCTAAAATCAATTTATTTCGAGACACCCCAGCATCAATGTATGCTTGAATAGAAGCATGAATATTAAGCTTTGATTTTATACAAACAGAAGAAATATCATCAACTGTCTCAGCATCATTCTTATATAATGGAGCATTATGACCTGTCTTTGTTTCCCAACCGCCTATATAATTACATATAAAAATTTCTATTTTAAAGCTACTCAAAATAAATTAACCATGATAGTCATAAGTCATAACATTAATCCAATCGAGATAAGTAGCCATACCAACTAAATCCATGTCGGCAATACATTGTGGAGAAGCACCTGTTCTATAAATGAAATACAAGTGTTCTTCTTATTTATTTGATATTTATATGAAAAGAATCATTTACGCTACAGTTAATAGATATGTCTTGCCATTTTGATTAGCAGCCATATCGAGTTGTTCACGCAATTCTTTTAAAATAAAAACGTAATTTTGTTTATCTTCAGGACGATGAATATTATGTTCATGTCCACCTGAAACAGGATATTCCCTACGAAAGAATTAAATATTAAGAATAGATTTATAAACTTACCAATCCAGATCAATACCATCAAATGCATATTTTTCAATAAATTTAACGCATGACTTTGCAAATTTTTTTCGACTTTCATCATTCATAGCAATATCAGAAAAATTTTTTGACCACGTCTGATAATAATAATGAATATGTAATAATGAAAGCTTAAAAACAAACGACAATTTTCTCTCTTTTCATTTAAATACATACCCATCCACCCACAGAAATCAGAGTACGTAAATGTGGATATACGTCTTTAAGTTTGATTAATTGATTAAAATTCCCCCGTAATGTCTGACTCCATGAATCACCTGGAAAAAACTTCTCTGTGTCAGCTTCATTGTCACCTCGTTCGATTTCACCATCTAATCCAATTTTAGCAAATGCATAATTAATATGAGTTATTTTATCAGCTGGAATATCATTGACAAAAAAATTTCGTTGATAAACAGACCAAGAAGTAAAGTAACCAACAACGATTGATTTATTATTATTTTTCCACTCAAAATCGATTTTGTCTTTCTGATTTGTCGATACTTAAAATGTAAACATTTCAGTTCAACTATTTGAAGTTTAATTATATTTTTCTATTACTTGGTTCAGATATAATAGTTGATTCAGATGTTGGTATTAAAGTAGTGGCTATAGACATCAGTAAAGTAATAGAAATAAAACTAATGAATTGACGAATACCTGGCTTAGGTAAATATATAATTTGACCAATTTGTAATTGTTCAGGTATGATACCTGGGTTAACAGTTAAGATATCGTTAAGTGTACAACCATATTTTCGAGATAACTTCCATAGAGTATCACCCGATACGATAGTATGTGTTGATAAAGTAGATGATGGATTTTTAGCTATAAATATCAAAAATATTTAGTATAAATTATTAAATAAAATGAATGCCTTTTGTTGGAAGTTGCACAATCTGACCAATCTTTAATTGCTCTGGTGCAACACTAGGATTGGCAGCTAGAATTGCTTCGACAGTATACCCGTATTTTTTTGCGAGAGCCCAAAAAGTATCTCCTGGAATAATTTTATGTGTAGACATGGAATCTGTATATGACATTGTCTTGTGTCGAACACCAAATTAAGTTTACATAGCAATGTAAATAAATGTGCCTTTAACGTGTTAAGAGAGGAAAGGTAAAATAATGTCAAGTAGATGACTAATACGACGCTAACTGATCATTATGCACACGGACGAATGAAAAAACAACAAATTTGATTGTTTTTGTCTAGCTCACAATAGATGAATTATTTAAAACGAAAAAAAAAGCAATCGTTTATAAAACCAGTGTGAAGAATTTTATCAATAACATTCTCAATCTAACATTATTGCTGAATATCTAACTTGAGATATGTTTTCAAAGAATAACTGATGATTTGATGTATGTTAGTCATTGTAGATGTTTAGATATAATCGATATTTTTAGAATGATCAGCTTATACAAATAGCATCTTGGATTCATCTATTTTATTTTATTCTATTTTGATAGCGAGTTCAATTTTGTGATTGGTATTAAGTTGGTTATAGTGTTTTTGAAATGAATCAATGACTTTTTTCTGTCCTTTTATTGTTCATGATTCTAAATCATGCTACAAAGGAATACTTCAAGACTCATTCTTTATTTCTGAATGATTTTGATTACATTTTCTATATATTTCTTTTTCTGTAATCTCACTTTTTTCTCTAACATTAACTGGATGTGACTGTTATGTGATCCAACTCCACTATCCAGAACTCGCAAATATTCGATGCCAACAATATAAAAGAGAACTGATGCTACATAATATATGCAAGTTCTCTCTTACAAAAGTACATCTATCATTATAATAGTGTGACAGAATTTTGCCAGTCAAAAGTTTCTCTGTCAGCCGCTCACTTCACATTGAAAATTATTAGTTCTGTCCTCAATATCCAAAATGAAAATGAATCAGAATAGTCTTACATGATAATAACGAAAGAAAATACTATAACAAATACCAAAGAAGATAAGAACATATCACAAATGAAGCTTAATACTATTGCTTTTTTAGTTAACCTCTGAATTTAATTCCAATGAGATTAGAACGTTTTATGTCATATCTTGTAAATACTGACACAGGGAACGTATTACAGCTTGTATGTCGAGATGTAAGCGGATGAGAATTGATCAAGGACGACAATTGAAAAATTTTGATACGTTTTTTTTAAATTTTTCTTAATTTCAAGGAACTTTCAAATGAAAAACAGAAACAACAATGGTAGAGAACTTATTAACAAGAAACTAGACGGTAATATCTACAAAAACTGATTTGGGATGTCAAATACCTTTTTAAAATTAAATGTATATTTTTATGTGATGGTAGCGGTGGTGGCTCAGCTGATTGATCTACACCTCTACTTGTATGTCATTTCAATGAAAACATTTTTAAACAAAGAATTCAGCAATTAAGAAAATGTAATTAAACGACAGTTTATATTCTATCTAAACAAGCCGATTTATTGCTTTCAAGTCGTTTCATTACTATAGAAAATGTAGACACTCAATACAAGAATAAAGGTTTAAGTAAATTACATATTCTTTTCGTCACAGTAGTTTTTCGTGTTGTTGAATGCAAACATATAGAAAAGAGTACCTAAGTTTTCTTTTATAGGCAAAGATAATGTAATAATACTTCCCATGTTGCTCGTTTGTTCATACTAACGTCAGTATACTAGCAGTAGATCGTCGGTTAGAGAACAACTATCGGCATACTGCTGTAGAATGATGGTGAGAAGATAGTCGAATGTTTAAGTATGTAGCTACCGATAGGTTTTTGTCTAGTTTAAATCATATGGATTATGCTATGAAGGGATCAGCCATCGTTGTGTACTCCTACAGTAGTTAAAAGTTCTCATCAACAATAATGGAAAACATTTATTTCGTCAATACAAAAAAGATTCTTTAAATTCAATAACAAATAAAACAAAAGAAACAGTTAAATTGACTATTTCCATCCATTATCAAGTTCAATATGTGTGTCATAAACAATAAATTCACGAACGACTTTTAATGGTGGAAAATTGTTTTTTGTCAAATATTGTATCACTTCATCATTGTTTTGAAATGCGCTTTCTCGACCAACATCAAATAAGCGCATTGTTACCATATAATGAGAATTTTTTTCATCTAATTGTTTAAATGCATTTTGTGAAACATGTAAATGAAGTCTACGATTTGATTGACATATATTTCGAAGTTTTTCTAATTTTTGTTCTTTAGGATCGTTATTTACCAAGACTTTATAATGAAATTCAAAATAGTTTGTTTTTTTATCCCAAAATAATTTTCTATCAATATCTGTTTCTGGAACACCTTCATTGGATGCTAATGATTCAATTTTAATACGTATAATATTAAAATTTTGAAAATGTTGATATACTTCTTCTTCAATTTTTTTAACAATTGATGGATATTCACCACAATAATATGATGATGTCATTAATTGTTGATGTTTACCATTTTGTTCATTGGTATCCAAATCAATAAATATAATCTTATATTTTGTATTTTCACATGTCTTTTTAAGTTTTTCAATAACTTGTTCAGTGTGATATGTACAATCCAATGTAACGTGTGCTTCAAATGTACCTTTGACAATATTTGTTGGTACAAGTGCGTTTAATTTTGCTTTGTATTGAGTACTTAAATCTTCAACAAAACTAAGAACACTAAAAAAGAACATAAATAATTCATTCTTAGAAGAAAAAAAACTCATCTTTTATTTTAAATCTTACTCTTGCATATTTGGATTATCTGTTGGATCACCACCACGTTTATCTTTCATTTCACTTAATATATGTGATACACGTTTGAAATCATGTATTGAACGTGTTTGAATTAATTGTTCAGCAAAATCTAAATATCGAAAACCGTGGAATAAATTTTTGAATAAATAATCTTTGCTTGATTGACTTGTTTGACTTGATCTTGAACTACGTTGTGGATAACTTGAGTTATCATCTAGATTATACATATTCATAGCTGTGAGATTTTCATAAAATGCCACTTGTTTTAGTCGAAGTTTATTATAATATTTTTCAAGATAAACTGGACGAAAATCAATTTCTTCTTTGATTTTAAATTCATCAGGTAAAAATATACATTCAATAGCAAGTAAATAATTTTTTTCTAAAAGTTTTTCGAAATTTTCAACACTGTGAACACAAACATCATATTGATTCCATAATTTATGTAATTCGAATGAATGAAAATAATCGAAATCATCGTCAAATTCTAGTGGATTTTGAGAAGGTGATCGAGTTACAATCATAAGATCTCGATCGGATGTAGGTGAATTAGTACCATATACCCATGAACCATAATTATAAATATTGGTCACAGAATTTTCGTTTAAATTAAGTTCGCGTAAAATCAATGAAATTGTAGAACGATCCATTGTATGTTTTGAATTGATAATGATTGTGAATTTTGTATCGAGCGATCGCTTTATATAAAATGATGCAGAAGAATTGTGTCAGTCTTGTGCAATTCAGATTCATCGACGTGTGATTTAGTCAGCATGGGCATGAAGTATGAGGTAATGAGCAGAAAGAACAGAAAGAAAGAAAGAACGAAATACTGAAAAAAGCTATGTTACTTTAGTCACAAAGGTCTGGTTAATCGTCTTCACTTATTGTATATAAGCATTTAGCAATCAAAGTGCAATATCAACTTATAATACATGGTTCGAGAAATCTATATGAAGTCACCAGAGACATCTGTCACTTTCGAATTGTTTTTTCTCGTAGTTTAGCTAAAAAAATAATTTCACAAGCGATATAATATGAGTGAAAAACAAACAAATAGAGCCTGTCTCTGCTGTTGTCATGACAACTACATTTTTTTTTATATAAATAAATCTGTTCTTGCTGGACAGTTAAATAGAAACTATCTATACATCAATGATTGTGATTATATTCCTGCGTTTAAACTTTATATCATTTTGCATATAATTATTTGCAGTATATATTAGAACAACGGATATAACTTCCATTAGTTTGTTTCATATTTCTTCAATTGTACCATAGATGGCATCCTGCTTATGCTTTCATTTATAATACGAAGCATTTCATTACATTAATAACTTTCTGCATACAAATTTATCGTCACAAGCTACATACCCACAGTAGATATACGAAAAATGGATGCAAAAATGCGCAATAATCGTACCTACTATACGTGAAAGTACCATAATACATTTTTTAAATAAAATAGTTCACTGATTAAAAAGCTATACTTTCAAGGATGTATTTTTTTAACAAGTAACTCATTAGTGTTTTTTTCGTCGTTTTTAAACATTTACCAGCTGTTGTTTCGATATGCGGTGAGCAAAGACATTGAAACTTGGATAAGCTTCCTTCTAGGTATTGAGAAGATAAATGAATGGATTCTATCATCTATAAAACTTACGTATGAAAAAAATATGGCGAACAATGAATATACAAAGATTTATAAATTCACTAACTAACTCAATATTAATATCATGTCAATCACCGTGCTACAAAACATAGAGACGTTTTTATTGAGCACACTTCATATTATCGAATAGATCTCAACAAAAATCTACTCGTTGCGGTGCCTAAACTAACTCAAAAAAGTTAATTTTGATCTCATATTAACAAAAACATAAAATCTAGGAAAAAAAGAGTAAAGTCCATCTCAATGTCAAGAAAACGCTGCTGTGAAACATCAGAAATCGGTTCAACTAGAAATGCTAAATAAGATCGTCAAGGTTCATCTATTAAACATCATTAGAAAATACCCAGTGATATTTATCAAACAATGTTTGATTTCATGTAATAACGGCTTGAAAACAGGGTAAAATCGGTTGTCATAGCAATGATTTTTTTCGTTGAGTCGTAAACCATGACCGTAACGGATATCACTTATAACCATATTTCTCCGTTTGACCCTGCATCGTAAATTATCATCGAAATAAAAGCTGTTTTCACCGGTTTCGAGTCGTTTACAGCCTTATATGGACCCTTCTATTCGATCTGGGTAATCATCAGTCGAATGATTTAACAGCTGAAAAAATCAAGCTGAAATGAGTTCATTATTTTTTTAGTTCGCATAATTAACATGATAAATTGATCTTGTTTTTGTCTTTCAAATCCATCAAGAATTTTTCTTAGCACAACAATTTTTTCCTTTATTAAAAATTTTACAAATGACCTACCGTATAAGCATCTCCTTTCAAAGACATTTGTTCTTGTCATAAATGTGATTGATACACAATTTGTTGGCTATTTTTCTTATCAATGCTTTTTTTGAGTTATAGTTTTTTCATTAAATTATAAGACAAGCGATTTGTCCTATGGCTCTTTTCTGACAGCATGGCAANCACCGGTTTCGAGTCGTTTACAGCCTTATATGGACCCTTCTATTCGATCTGGGTAATCATCAGTCGAATGATTTAACAGCTGAAAAAATCAAGCTGAAATGAGTTCATTATTTTTTTAGTTCGCATAATTAACATGATAAATTGTTCTTGTTTTTGTCTTTCAAATCCATCAAGAATTTTTCTTATCACAACAATTTTTTCCTTTATTAAAAATTTTACAAATGACCTACCGTATAAGCATCTCCTTTCAAAGACATGTGTTCTTGTCATAAATGTGATTGATACACAATTTGTTGGCTATTTTTCTTATCAATGCTTTTTTTGAGTTATAGATTTTTGATTAAATTATAAGACAAGCGATTTGTCCTATGGCTCTTTTCTGACAGCATGGCAATTTTACTACTTTTAGTTTTTATCAGATTATTAATGTGTTTTATCTTAATAAACTAAGCGTTATGCTCTGCATACGTGCTAAAAATTCCAGTTTATCTACCAAATTTAATAGATAAATACGAAAACAATACTCGCATGCAAACTAAAAAACTGAAGAGTGTTATCTTCTTCCTATTTTCTTTTGGTTGCTTATTGTGACCTATGCATCAGTCATGATTGTTTTTTTGAGCCACTAAGATTTATCACATCGAATTGAACGAGTAGAATGAATTCAACAAGAACACAAAATGTGTTTATTTAATATAAAAATAATTAAAAACAAATGTTCCTGTTATTTGTGGTTAAAAAAGAGATCACAATCAAATTGACTATTTCCATGCATTATCAAGTTCAATATGTGTATCATAAACAATAAATTCACGAACGACTTTTAATGGTGGAAAATTGTTTTTTGTCAAATATTGTATCACTTCATCATTGTTTTGAAATGCGCTTTCTCGACCAACATCAAATAAACGCATTGTTACCATATAATGAAAATTTTTTTCGTTCGGTTGTTTTAATGTATTATATGATACATGTAAATGACATGGATTATTTGATTGACATATATTTCGAAGCTTTGTTAAGTTTTGTTCTTCAACATCTTCTCTGACCAAAACTTTATAATGAAATTCAAAATAATTTGTTTCTTTATTCCAAAATAATTTTTTATCAATATCTGTTACTGGAATACTCTCATTGGATGTTAAGGATGCAATTTTAATACGTATAATATTAAAATTTTGAAACTGTTGATATACTTCTTCAATTTGTTTAACAATCGATGGATATTCACCACAATAATATGATGATATCATTAATTGTTGAACTTTATCATTTTCTTCTTTTGCTTCGAAATCAATCACTAGAATTTTATATTTCGTATTTTCACATTGTTTTTGAAGTTTTTTCATAATTTCTTCCGTATTATTTGAACAATCGAATGTAATTTGTGCTTGAAATGATCCTTGAATAATATTTGTTGGTACAAGTGCATCTAATTTTGATTTTAATTCAGCACTTTTTATACAAACAAAATCAAATACCCTGAAACAAAAATCTTTTTTTTTGTTTTTCAAAACAATAAGCAAACAGCTTTTCTTATTTACTCTTGCATACTTGACCTATCTGTTGAATTTCTGCGTATATCTTTCATTTCGCTGAATATATGTGATATACGTTTAAAGTCATGAATTGAACGTGTTTGAATCAACTGTTCGGTGAAGTCTAAGTATCGAAGACCATGAAATAAATTTTTAAATAGATAATCGTTGCGCAATTGTTTTGTTTCAAGTGCTCTTGAACTACGTTTCGGATAATTTGAAAAATTATTAGATTCATACAAATTAATATCTCGATTCATTTCATAAAATGCGACTTGTTTTAATCGAAATTTATTATAATATTTTTCAAGATAAACTGAACGAAAATCAATTTCTTCTTTGATTTTAAATTCATCAGGTAAAAATATACATTGAACAATAATTAAGTAGTTTTTTTCTAAAAGTTTTTCGAAATTTTCAATTGAATATACACAAACATCATATTGATTCCATAGTTTATGTAATTCAAATGGATGAAAGTAATCAAAATCATCATAAAATTTTAGTGGATTTTGCGAAGGTGACCGTGTGACAATAATAATATCTCGATCGGATGTAGGTGAATTAGTACCATATACCCATGAACCATGGTTGTAAATATTGACCACAGAATTTTCATTTAATTTAAGTTCGTGTAAAATCAATGTAATTGCAGAACGATCCATTTCAACGTGATGAATTGACAACGATTGTGAATTTTGTATCGAATGAATGCTTTATAAAAATTTACATACAAGTTTTGTTTCTTTCTTATGCAACTCAGACTCGTAATATATAACAGAGACCATTTGTCATGAAAGAATGACACAACATAGAGAAAAAACAGAAAGGAAAAACAAAATGTGTGTAAAAACCTATTTACATCAATAAAAGTATTTTCAAGTTACCTTGGCTCTCTTGTTGTCGATGTAAAACAATTCAAAAAATTCTATGGTCAATTCATATAAAATTTCTTAGATTGTAAAAGATTATTGAATCAATCACTAAGGACATCTGCGAATGCGACAAGTTCTTTCTATCTTGCCGATAGTTTTGCCAATATGAGTCATAGATTATTCCACCTGATCAACATAAAAACACACTCCTCGTGTCATCAACTTGACAATTCGTCAATCATTTCTGTAATGTGAATAGATATTCTTTTTTTATATTCTATTCCATTGAAATTGAAACTTTATTCTTTTAAAAAAAATGAAAAGAACACATTGGCTTACAATTGATGAAACCTTGAATAATATTTACCTTTGAAATATAATTTGTTTTTCTTTTTTCTTTCTTCACTGAGATAAAAATCAGTATTCAAGTGAAACAATGTTAACCAAATCACCTCTAAGAATTGGTCAAATTTATCAAAAGCTATCATGGTCTTTCTTGCAATATTCAATTTCAAGCAGAACAACGACGTTAATTCATCGAAGTAGAGAATTTTATATATTAGATAGTATCACAGTTGTATTTCTTTGTAGTTACTTTTAATAGAGAAGTTGACCAACACTTGAATTCACTATCTAATGTCTATATATAGACAATATATGTTGTTTTTATCTCGCATGATTTACTTGCTGCTTTTTATTTGCTCGACGTTATGCACATAAAAATTTAAAATCAGCAAATCAACTGAAGATTCTTTTTATGTCAGTTTTTGAGAAAAGCAAACGATTTCATGTTTAGCTTTCAATATATTTTAATGTTTATTAAGAGAAAGTATTGTTTGGTTCTACTAAAGTTTTCGATCAAGTATGCTTTGAGATGATGAAATATGAAAATATACAATGACAAAGAACTTCTTATTTGTTGGACTCTTTATTTTTCTCTTAGTTTTGCATTCTTTGATCGTGGAACAAGAAAACAAACATAGCCTGGTTAGTACATCTAACAAGAACATAAAGAATCGTCTTCCTTGTCAAATGATTAATTGAATCTGTCTAGACCGTTTTTCTTTTTCATTTTTATATTCAAAAAGAATCTTTAGTAAAAAATTTGCTGATGTCATGCTTAATCTCGAGTTGCACGTTCATTCGAAGCATTTTTGTTTTTCTTTATTTTTTCTTTGTCTTTATCAATTGTTTCATTTTTTAGACATGGGGACAAATGTTGGTGGTGATGAAATTTCTAAACATGGATATTCAACTGGCTATGATGTCCTACACAATCGACGTGCTAATAAAGTCAATTTCTAAAATTCTGAAAAATTTTATATTCAATTGATTATTTTTTAGGGACTAGCATTTTCCATTGAAGAACGTCAAGCATATCGTATTCGTGGTTTATTACCTCCAACTGTCTCAACACCACTTCTTCAAGTTGAACGATTTATGGAAAATTTACGAAAAATGCCGGATGATTTAACGCGATATTTAGCATTATCTGCATTACAAGATGCCAATGAAAAGTTATTTTATCGTGTAGCAATTGAACATACACAAGAAATTATGCCACTTGTTTATACGCCAACTATTGGTTTAGTTTGTCAAAACTATAGTTTGCTTTTTTTAAAACCGAAGTAAATTAATTTTTTTATTTCATCAATCAAAAGAACTTTATTTTGTATAGGGGCTTATTTATATCAATTTTTGACAAAGGTCATATATATGATGTTCTCTGTAATTGGCCAGTTAATGATGTTCGAGTCAGTTTATAAAATTAATTATTGTTTTTTTCTGTTATTTATTTGAATCTTTAGGCTATTGTTGTAACTGATGGTGAACGTATCTTAGGTTTAGGTGATTTAGGTTGTAATGGTATGGGTATACCTATTGGTAAATTAAACTTATACACAGCACTAGCTGGTGTACCACCAGAATATTGTTTACCTGTAACACTTGATGTTGGTACAAATAATGAAGTGAATAGAAATTGTTTGTCTTTTGTTCGGAGTATATTTTTATTGTTTATATTTTAATTAGAATTATTTGAACGATACATATTATGTGGGTGTAAGACAAAGACGTGTTCGAGGAAAAGAATATGATGAATTTATTGATGAATTTATGCAAGCGGTTGTGAAACGGTAAATTAAATTTTAAAGACTTTTTTCAAGAGATTGATTTCTATGGATTGTTTAGATTTGGACAACAATGTTTAATTCAATTTGAAGATTTTGCTGTAAGTAAATAATTGAAATAAGAAAAAAAAAAGATTTGTGATTCAAACTAGAATCATAATGCTTTTCGTTTACTTGCAAAATATCGTGATACTTATTGTACGTTTAATGATGATATTCAAGGTACAGCTAGTGTTGCTGTTGCTGGAATCCTTAGTGCAACGAAAGTAACTGGAAAAAAATTAAGTGATAATTTATTTGTATTTTATGGAGCTGGTGAAGTAAGATTTTATTTTGTAGAAACTTTTGTTTAATTCAATAATTATCAAATTAGGCATCAATAGGTATTGCAGATTTACTTGTTGTTGCTTTGACACGTGAAGGATTATCGACAGAAGAAGCACGAAAAAAAGTTTTCTTAGTTGATTCAAAAGGACTTGTTGTTAAGGTAGATTGAAATTTTGTATGTTTTGATGATATTGTCTTTTTAAGAATCGACCTGGAAGCGTATTAAATGAAGAGAAAAAGCGATTTGCATATGAACATGAACCAGTTTCAAAATTAATTGATGTTGTTCAAACTATTAAACCTTCATTTCTTATTGGTATTTATTAGTTGAATTTAGTTTTTTTAGATTATTTTTTTTTATAAGCGATCATCCACAAGGAAAATCCAGCTAGAAGTCGTAGTTTTTGACTCCCTCTCCTCCTGGACATCTAGCCAAAATTTGGGACCTGGTTAATAGAAAAATTTCAGACCCGAAATCAAGCTGACCTGCTCTAACGTCTTGTATACAAAAAAAAAACTTTCTAGAAATAGCCTGCTTCTTCGAATGTACCACTTTCTTTTTTATTAATAGGTGCTTCTGGTCAAGGTTCAGCATTTACTCATGATATTCTTGAATTGATGGCTTCAATTAATGAACGTCCTGTTATATTCGCTTTATCAAATCCAACATCAAAAGCTGAATGTACAGCACGTGAAGCATATGAAGCAACAAAAGGCCAATGTGTATTTGCTTCTGGTTCACCATTTCCTAATGTTGAATATAATGGTAAAACATTTGTGCCTGGTCAAGGAAACAATTCATATATATTTCCTGGTGTTGGTCTTGCCATTGTTACGTGTGCTATTCGTCATGCACCAGATGAATTATTTTATTTGGCTGCTAAAACACTTTCAGAACAAGTAACAGAAGCTGATTTATCAGCTGGTCTTATTTATCCACCGATTAAAAAAATTCGACAAGTATCAAGAAAAATAGCGACAGCATTAGCTGAATATGCTTATGAGAAAAATTTGGCTGGACTTTCTCCAAAACCGAAAAATTTAGAAAAATTTATTCATTCAAAACAATATACAGTTGAATATGAAAATGTATTACCACATCCATGGGAAGGAACAATTAAATCACCTTCGAAATTGTAAAATTTTCCTTGATTTTCTCCTACTATTTATTTTTCGTCACAGAAGAATGCTTCTGTAATGATAGCTCCCCTTAATTTAATGGAATGATATTTTCTATAAATCAAATAAAAGTGAAATAGATATTAAGTGAAATTACAAAATGACTCTTTCTTATTTAACATTAGTTATTCATATGGCATTCTGCAAAAAAGAAACCGAACAATTTTCTGAAGACCGACTAAGGATAAACTTCTTTTCTTTTGACTTGTAACTACACAACGGCAATGAGAATTCAACGTTACTAACAGATCCATATGTATTGTTTTCAATTTGAAATCTTTGGGAAAAAAGTTTAGCCGATACAGACTTTCTTGATCTCCTTACTCATGATGACTTTTCACTTCTATTGCATTATAGTTCACATTTCGATATTTTCTCAAAAATGACTCATTTGATCGAATCTATTCAAATTTCATTTGATAGTCATTAAGATGTTAGACAAAAAACTACCGATAATGAAATATATTTGTTACTAAAATTTAGAGCAATCTTGTCGTAGAAGTCGGAATTCATTAGAAAAGCAATAAATAAAAAGACCATGTTGTTTCTTGTNAATGGAAAGCGTATTAATCTGCCTCACGCGTTAGTGAAGTTTTACACAAAAAACAGTTCTTATCGAAATTTCATTATTATGATACCAGCTGAATAGGGATGAAATAGCACAGAAAAATAGAGCTTCATTTTCTCTATCGTCTCATAAAAACAGAAAATTTCATCAAGCCTTCTATACGAAATTGAGATGCGACCGCCACTACTTTTGGGTACCCCTAAGTAAATAGAATCAACTTAACGGTAATCGAAAACAAAACTACAATTTTTTGGAATTGAGCCATATTTTAACTTTTTCTTCACACTATGAAAAATTAGATTGCTAACCAGCTTTATGTACAGAAACACATTAGGAAACACCAGAAATTATTATTTATTATGGTTTGCTTTAAACCATGGTTCATCCTGTCAAAAATTAAATATTTAACACCATCCATCCGATACTGCTTCCTTTTTAACTATTTAATTTCACAACAATCGTATAGTTTGCGAACAATTCTTGGTAATTTATAATGCTTAAGAGAAAATATCAAAGTTTTTTTTCTTTCTCTATATATTTAACTTTCAATAGAACTTGTTAAAATGCTAAAATATTAACTAAATTTGAAGTTTATGAAAAGCATAAATTTTCATATAATAAAAAAGCATTGAATCTTGATGCCAATCATTTACTACTCGTTAGAGTATTACGAGTATATGATTTCCATCAAGATTCTACAAGTACATGCTAAGATGATTATTAATATTTATATCAAAGGTATATTGTAATGTCCCTGATGAGGGAAGGTTCCCAAGTAATAAATCGCTTTCAAGGTAGAACTACATTCAATTGATAGGATCTAGGGAGTAAGCAAATATCCTACAGTGATTCGAGCTACTGGGTCTTTAATGCTGATATATCGAACTTTTAGTGTATTTTTTTCTGTAGGATCGCAGCTTTCAAGTAAAATTATACTTTTGAATTCTAATCTGAACCCTTGCTTGCTGTAAAAGCACCAACTCAGTTAGCGTGTAAAAAAATTTCTGCTTTTTTTCACTAACTCTCTCAAATATATGAATTTTTTAAAATACCGATACTTTTTTACAATCATCATGGCTAAAGACATACATTTTAAAAGATCCATATCTTGTAGAGACTGAGTCAATAAATTCTGAAATTTTGCTCTACAAGCTAATCTAATTGATCCCTTTATATGGACATAGTTCCAAGTCGAAATTCAAAAGTATGATTCGTCTTGAAGACTGAAGCTCTACAAGAAAAATCCACTAAACGTTCAAAATCAAAGCAACAAAGGCCCAGCACATCGAACCATTCTAAAGTATTTACCAACTCACTAAGCCCAACGATTGAATACAGTTTGAACTCGAAAGCAATTTATTCCTTCGGACTTTTCCTCGTTAGTTTAGGCTATTTTTAGATTTATTGATAAGTTATTTAGAACATTAGTTTTCTATATGATTGAATGCTGCATATTGACAAATGAAATGACAAAAGGATTAAAACAAGAAACAACATGGTCTTTTTATTTATTGCTTTTCTAATGAATTCCGACTTCTACGACAAGATTGCTCTAAATTTTAGTAACAAATATATTTCATTATCGGTACTTTTTTGCCTAACATCTTAATGACTATCAAATGAAATTTGAATAGATTCGATTAATTTAGTCATTCTTGAGAAAATTCCGAAATATGAACTACATTGAAATTTGAAGTAAAGAAATGATAGTAGGTAAGGAGATCGAGAAAATCTGCATTGGCTAAACTTTTTTTCCAAAGGTTTCAAATTGAAAACAATATATATGGATCTGTTAGTAGCGTTGAATTCTCATTGCAATTGTATAATTAAAAGTCGAGAAAAAAGTTTATCCTCAGTTGTAATGTTGGCTAGACTGTCACTAGCTCTCTTAAGACTACAACTATTGATTGGACTAAATAGTTAAAAGTGTAGAACAGGAATAGTATGTTCTTCGATATAAAAAAAGTGTTTAGTCCGTACTAATATATTAAAAATCTTGACGCCTGGGAATATATAAGTTCAAAATTAATATAAAGCAGGTATTTGATTATTTATGTGCGTCATTCGCACGGTGAATACTTCCTGGAGTAAAATGGAGCCGACGATATTAATTGTGATTGAACTCTCAAGAGAACTTTAGAAACTATTTCAGTCAACAGATTTTTGGTTCATGTTCTCATTCAACATGTTGTCGGTTATACTAGGCGCTTTATTTTGCTCAAATATCATTCATGCCATTGACGATAATCAACATTGGATGAAATTCAATGAAGAAACTTTACATAAATTACGGATACCATCGGATCATCTACAAACAGCAATTTCCTATGATGAATTTGAATTATATAATGATTATCAATGTGCTATCGAATGTATTAAAGATAAAAATAGTTGTATTGGTTATGCATTTGACAATAAAACTCATTTATGTTCATTATTTGAGGGTTCTTCTGAAACCATGGATAATGATGTGATTAAATTGGTACAGTATTTGAATTGATTATTTATCTCTAAATCATTTACTTCATAAATCTAGCGAGAACAATTGAAACCAAAAGCATGCGACACGGTTAAATGTAAACCCGATGCTATTTGTATTGGAGACGACAAGCCAACGTGTATATGCTTAAATGGAGGACTCACACCTGACAATTGTGATAGAATAGGTCCGTTATTTTTTTTTGTTTTTAATTAGTTTTTTTTTCTAATTTTCATTTCCATTGTTTTCTAGAAATTGGTACATGGACTGATTTTAATGATTGGTCGAAATGTAGTGTAACATGTGGCGAAGGTTATCAATTTAGAAAACGAGAATGTTTATCAGCAAATGATAAAACTAAAAAGATTTCAAGTGAGAACTGTATTGGTAAACATATTGAAATACAACTATGCAACATAACAACATGTCCAAGTAAATATATATGACTTTATTTCTAAGACAATTGATTTTATATTTTGTTTTTGTTAAGCATATGGATCATGGTCATCTTGGACGGCCTGCTCAACATTTTGTGGTATTGGTATAAAACAACGTAATCGTTCATGTATTCCACCAGGCTCAAATTGTGGAAATTATACTTCTGAACAACGAGCTTGTGGTGAAGCTCATTGTCAACGTGTCGTTGGTAAGATTTCACTAATAGCTAAAATCAGATTTTTTTAAAATTTATTTGTCTGCTTATTAGGAATCAAAGAAACAGAACCTGCCAAATATTCAATGAAAGGTTATTTAGCTATACGAGAAGGTGATATTTTATGTATTCCGCAGAATAATAGTGTGGCAGTTAGACATATGGCTGATTTAGTAAGATGAACTATTGTCAAAATAAAAAAAATCTCAACAATTTTTCTATCATCAAGGTTTGTAAATCTATTGGTTTTACTCGTGGAGCACAATATGGTAAGTAAACTATGATTAAGTCTGTATTATTATCTGTTTTCTATATCCAGCTGTTCCTTATCCAATTCTGAAGAATTCAACATGTTATCCTGGTATTGTATGTGATGGTACAGAAAAAAATTTTTATGATTGCAAATATGATCGATCACAAATATTGTCTGGTAGTAATAATTTAGTGGCTGTTATTACTCGATGTATTGGTAAGATTTTATTCATATAAATTTAATCTGAGGAAAACAGATATTTATGTTACAGTTGACGGTGGTTTTTCACATTGGTCGGAATGGTCCACGTGTACAAAATCATGCGATACTGGTCAAAGCACTCGTTCTCGAACATGTACTGAACCATCACCATCTATACTCGAACCTGAAACAATGTCTATAGATTCTTCATTAGCTGGAATGAATTGTACAGGAGAGTATACACAAGTTAAGACTTGTAATGAACAAAAATGTTAAACTTTTGTCTTTATATATTTATACATGAACAAATACAAATACATATATATATATATATACGGTTAATATCCGAAATGTTCACGCACTGTCCATACACGATTATTAGTTGTTATTCGCTTATGTCTATAAATCGCAAATGAACCACGAAATGATGAGTTTGTTGAAGCATATAAGATAGGAAAAAATGCAGATTTGAGTATAAGAATATAATAAGTTATTTGTAAAGCACGTTGAATTTCTTTTGTATTATGAAATATAATGAAAATTCGAATTGTAATCCAAGGTAACCATAAAAGAATAAATGTGAAACTTAATATAACAACATGCCATGTCATTTTTTTTTGTTCACGATATTGTTTACGTTGAATTTTATCGAGCCTTGCTGGTCTTCGTTGCCATAAATGACGTATAAGAAAAATAAGACCAATAAATATACATAAAAGTGGCAATGAGTATATGATTCCAATTTCTGTATAAGCCATCCAGATTGGATGATAAATAGATGTTGTGTATGTTGTACAGTAAGATGTTGTATTTGTTGTTGATGATATAATTGTTAAAAGATAACTTGAATAATTCGTCATAAATGGAACACCATAGAAAAGAAATAAAACAATCCATGATATCAATAACAATATGATAAGATATCGACGACGAATATTTATTGATGTTTGTTTTAAATCATATAAACGAGTATAAACCATAAAACCGATAGCATAAATAACAGAACCCAATGCACACGATTCACCAATGGATAGAGCGGCACATAATTTTGATGTTAAGGGACTTCCATAAGCACTTATAAAACGCATAGGAAGAACAAAACTACCAATAAATAAGTCAATAAAGGCCATGCCTAATACAAACATATTTGACCAATGTTTTCCATTAGCACGTACAAAATAGGTCACAAATACACAAATCTAAATTTGATAGAAATGCATATTTAATATTTGAATATAAAACTTACATTTCCAACTACAATAGCAGCAATAAATACCAATAAAGCAAGCTTTTCTGGTGTTGATGATGAATTTTCAAAGTCCATTGTCACTTTATTCCCTAATTCAAAAAAATGAAGTAAGTTACATATAAAATCAAGAAAAGAGTGAAAATGCAATCTTTTTTATTTTTTAATCGAAGTAGGCGGATGCACAATTTTAGATTTGACGCTTCACTTTAAAAAAGTGCTATATTAAAAAGTAATTAAATACTTTTATAATGGACATACGCATACATGTGCTACTAAATTTTCAAACTTAAGTATATTTCAGGTAACAATAAAAAGCAATGAATATTAGTATAGTAAAGATAGAACGTTAGCCCGATCAATACAGACCGATGAGCCTTTTGCTTAAAAATTTTTTCACCTGAACTACCGAACATGTACGACTGAAGAATAACAAATTCATATTTTATCACCTATTTATGTTCATTAAAAAACAACTATTACGAGCCTTCTTTATTATTCAATGTGTCAATCATATTAGTCTTGATAATAGTCCGTAGAAAAATAGATGCTGTGAGCCTTTGCACGTTTTTCAATCTTCAATATTAAAGTAATTTTCTTTTCTCACGAGAGAAGAAAAGCACGAACTGCTACTATTTATGCTATCTTGCCATTGACTAAATTATATTTCAGATGAACAAAGATGGTTTCTATTGACGTTTTGAGCTACATATCATGAAGGTTTCGATTTCTCAAATCCTTTTACAAGTGTTTGATGATCACATCTCCAACTATAGATTCGATAGAGATGTCAGTAGACTACATGCTAACATAGTTTGTTCTTTCTTAACTTTTTTTTAGCCAAACTTTCTCGAAAACCAAATACTACCTAAACTAGTGATTATGTATATCAGCCTTGATTAAACAGAATAATATCCATCATCGTAAAATCCAATTTATATATCTTGTTCATTGTTAATGAAAATATTTTTGGCTATTGCAGCATCATTATTTCTACGATTGGCAAAGAATGAACACACTAGATTTAGAATTTATCTAGTCTATATAATGGATATAGATAATATTTACGATGAATATCGTGTATCATCGTTGTCAAAATTCGAAATATTTCGAACAGTAATAATTAAACATTTGCAGTTGCTGTGTTGATCAATGATTTCGTTAGGTTACAATATTTGTACATGTTGAATGACCACCGATGTTGCAAACTTCTGTTCCTCAATTTTTTCAGAAACAAATACTTACTATATGCTGTATTATCATACCAATACTAATCAATAACAGATGGTATTGATATTGTGACATACCCAAAAGATATCACAGTTACAAATTCAAATATAACTATTGAACACTTTATCTGTATTTGTCAATATATTGTAAATAGTAGAATAATTTCGTCAAGCTTATGAAAAAAAAATAAGAAGACATTCTACATATTTTTCCAAAAAAAACAGATTTCTAAATCTACGAGAAAACATTCAATTATTTAGAAAACGACAAACAATATCGTTTTGCTCTTTCATAAAATGATGTTAGATTGTCTTGAACCCGCTCATCGCTACAAAGAAATCATCCTTACGTATCTCTCTCTTTCTCTCTACAGAACAACGAAGAAAGCGATCTCATTTTGATGAAATCTTCTCCTGAACATTTCAAAAAAACCACGAAAGAGAAAATATTTCAATAGCAAATGGAACGTTGTAGAAGTTTTTCTATTCATATAAAGAATGATTTTGAACTGAGAAGATAGCATTCCAGAAATGGAAAAATATTCTTTTGTGAACTTCATAAAACAACATTTGATCCTGTCTCTACATTCTTGTATATATAGATAGAAGTATATGTACACTTTTGATTTATTTCTACGTGATGACAATTAATGGTTATTGTGTTTAATTTACTGAACAAAACATAGTCTTTCGAAATAAATGTATAAGTTGCATTTGTTAATCCATTGATAAATCGAATTATAGATCGTTTTAGAGGTTAAAACAAAATTTGCGACGAATTATAAAAGTAAAGATAGATTTTTAATTTAAATTAATTAAATTAATACTATTTATCTTTTTCTTCATGAATATTTCTCATTGGAATGATCATCTTCGATCTTTCAATATTTGGTAATGAATCATAAAAACCAATCATCTAGTTTCCAAATTTATTATCATTCACTTTACAACGTAACAATAATATCTTATAAATGAAATTAACATTTATATTCCGAAATTTTGAAAAAAAAGATTGTTTTCTTTGAAATTTCACAAATATGAACAATCATTTATTGCAGAAATAAGACTAAGATTATATAGGTTTCGTATGCCTTGCTCATGTGCTCTATCATAAAATGCAATCACTACCGAATACAATATAATGAGGTCAAATCATGTTAGACCACGATAAAACCTATTAGTGTAGTTCATACACTTGTAATTCAATCACGAATAAGAAAAGTTGCTTGCATCCATTTCATAGTTACACTATTCTCTTCTAGCTTAAACATAATGAAAACATACAAATCTGTTAACTAACAAGATATTCAACATATATACATCAGGTTCGATAATATTTCAAACAATGATCATGTTTGCAAGTAATGCTATCAATTTACAAATTTATAGCTTTTTTATATTTGCATATACAGAGTACTAATATTGTCATAACAACGGATAATTTTGTTTGATAACTAACAACTCGTAAACTTTTCTCAGGTTTAACATCTATTGTTCGTGAAAAAACACTTCACTTCTTTTTTTCTTATTTATAATATATAATTCCCGTTTCTCGAAAGAAACGAGAGTGGACCAAACTCGATGGCACTGCAGTATCGAGATGATCCGTGGCACAGGTCCGAGTGAACTCGGGTGATCCTGACCAATGTCCAAAAATCCGCTTGAAAGAGCCTGATCTCAATGAGACCAGCGCCGGCTTTCAAACCGACGAGAACAGATACTACACTTTGATCTTAGCCGAAAAGGCCGAGAAGCGATAACTAAACTAACAAATCCAAGCTTCTTTTATTCACATCGTCCATACACATTGCATGTTTTAGCGAAACAGAGAACAATCTCGTCTTTTCGCAATAACAATGTTATTCAGTATGATTCATTAACAAGTGATGTTTCGAAAGAATAAAGAAATTTATAACATGATTCATATCTTTTTATTCATATGTATTTCGTTTACTAGTGCTGAACACCTTTAACATCTTATCACATTTTCATCGAAATGTTGTTAACTAAAACCTTAACAAAACTAACACAATAACTAAGATAACTGCAGATGTCGCTACATTTATTTTTTGTAAGATGTTGCTCTGACAGACCTGTGTTATCACTAGCCCGCACATTTTCGTCATCGCAACATGTATGTGATCAGATGTGATCATTTACCTCTTGGTAAGTTGTAATAAGCAAACTTTAGTGTAGTGTATGGAGAGCACAAGATATGACTTGTCTTGACACATATCGTTTCGATAAAAGTGTAAAGGAAAGAGGAAAATGTAGAGAGACGCCAGATGTCGTGATCTGCATAGTCATCAGACAAGTTGCTTATTACAACTTACCAAGAGGTAAATGATCAAATTTGATCACATATATGTTGCGATGACGAAAATGAGTAAGCTGATATCAACATTGACTTACCAGAGCAACATCTTCTAAAAAATTACACGTATATACAGAATAATTACTCTATTGTCGTCACAATCGAAACTGGAAAGAAGTGCTTTGTTTGCTCAGGTGGTCATTACTCCTATATGTTTAGTTGTTTGTCTCAAATGATAAATATTCAAGTAGAATTACTTTTCAACTGCATCAGATGATCTTGTTTTTTTCTTTTCAATAACTTATTAGTTCAATGAATAATAGGTTTTTTTGTTGAGATAAAATAAATCTTTTCTGATATATTTTTCAAGTGTGCCTTGAGCAGGGCGTGAATTTTCTCTTCTCTCACATTCGTACCATCGACATATGCTAGTTCTCATTCAGGTATTGTTGCTACGGTTTAACAAGCCTTGTTTTTCTTGAAATAACACAGTTAGATCATGGCTATCTGCTGTATGTTTAATGATTGCTTATCGTAATGTAAAATACATAATATCATATTTCTTTTTCTTCTGCACGTGAGTGATAGAGCACATGCTGCTCACATTATGGAGGTTATTATTACTCTTGAGATGAAAAATTGACGAAATCCTCAGATGGAGAGATTTTACTGTACATTAAAATAGTAAAATATTTTGAAGCAATTGTTTCTCTGGTTCACAATGATGTATATGCTATTCAGAAAAACATCAATGATCGTCCCCCATGATTTGATCGGTGTCTCGATAGATAATTATTTATATATAGAGAGATGATATCGTGCAACAGTTTTCTATCATGAAATATTTCCTTCATTTATCTCTTCTGTACATAAATCAGGCTTAAAACGCGAACTTTTGTCATATACACAATAGAGTGCTTACGGTATGACATTGATAGCGTTATAGTTTTATTTCTATTGTTGTGTTGAATTGTGTTGCTCTGGCCGGCTTGCGTTGCCACTAGCCCACATATTTCTCGTCATCACAACATGTATGTGATCAGATGTGATCATTTACCTCTTGGTAAGTTGTAATAAGCAAACCTTACTGTAGTGTATGGAGAGCACAAGATATGACTTGTCTTGACACATATCGTTTCGATAAAAGTGTAAAGGAAAGAGGAAAATGATCAAATTTGAGGACATACATGTTGCGATGACGAAAATGAGTAACTCAGGTCAATCATTCCGACCGTCGGAAACGGCGTCTTATCTGGTCTGAAACGGCTATAAACGGTGAATTACTGCCTTAATTTTGGCCTTATTACGCCGTTTAAGTCCGTTTACGACGCCGTTGTATTGGACCTAGGAAGCTGATGTCAACATTGGCTTGCCAGAGCAACAGTTTTGTTAGTGAAGAATGAGAATTAAGAAGGTTTATTGCTAAGTGTCATGATCTATGCTGGCAGATGCCTCTTGATCAGTGCACTTTCAAAATTCGTTTCAGATAATAGGAGGCGCACGTGTGTGTAAAATAAAATACGAAATACTTTTTGTCTATTATTGGAGAATGACTATCAAGTTCATCTTAATTTTAATGTTGGTTGCGAAACTGAAGTCAAAGGTTGTATGTTTTTTTGATAGTTTATCTTCGCTTGATTATATTATTTTTTTTCGATCATTGTGGTCCGATGAATCATAGTTTTCAAAAACGACCATGAAAAAGAACATTGATACATTACCTTTTTAAAAAACATGAGGGATAATGAGTCTCGTCATTGAAAACGCATTTGTTCAATCTTTTTTATACTGTGAACGAAAGAAGATCAATATTGGTTCTTTTTCTGAATTGAATCAGGTTTGTCTTTTTTCTAATGCAATGCTCAGATGCATAGATAGGACTTTTGAAGTCATTGGCTTTGTTCCAACTAATTGTTTCGTTAGGTGTGAAGAATAGCCAGTCAGAAATCATTTGGGCTATTATTATTTCAAATCCTTTTTTCTGCCATTGGAAAACTGATTGTTACTCGAAAGAAGTCCATTACTGTAAACTAAGGAGTTCCATTTGTTGATTTCTTACTGTTTCGAAAATGTACTCTTCAACTTTCCACTATTTCAATATATTACGTCAAAAATCATCAATAAAGACAAATAGATAGAGACCTCCTAAGTTGTTCCAGCAGATGTGGGTGCAAGACATCAGCGAAACTTTAGCTTAACTGGTAGCAGACTGGAAGTGGCACTTATTTCTTTTCAAGTTAGTCTCTGTCTCTTTTTTATCAAGAAGTAAACTATAAATCGGCATACTTAATTTTTTTCCTGACTAAGGATTTGCAAATGAGTCAGTTTTATTTGTGCTTTCAATAACAGTTTTTCACTGATCCCAATTCTAATTGCATGAATGGGAATTTTTCAATAACTGAAAATAGATTTTAAAAATAGGTGAATTAGTACAATATAGCCATAAATTTACTTTCCAAAGTAGTTTTACCATTCCTTTCATTGTAAGCTTTTTATCATTTTTCTTTCTATTGCTAGAGCACTAACTTTTTATCGTTGTTATTATACATATTCATATTTAAAAAAACTCTATTATTATTTAGTTATACAAACAGGAATCTATAAGTGAATGTATAATCTTGCAAAAAAAGGTTGTTACATGACTGATTATAAAAGTTGTTGTCCTATTTCTACAGATTATGAATGTTGACAATGTCAAATTAACTCTCGCGGTTATACAAAAAAAAGTCATTCATGTAGACTTTGTATCTATTCAAGAACTGGCATTGTAAAGAATTTTCTAGGTCACATAAGTGAAACCAAGCAAAAGTTTTAGTGGGACACAAAAAAAGGGTTGTGTATCACCCTAATTCCGCTACATGATTATTTATGGATGCTTGTACTATTACTGAGTCAAAATCAGTAATGTATTTGAAGAACCATTCGAATGATTTAAAATCTTCCAGAACATAAATTCAGATCAAACCGAAAAAAAGAAAAACTGTAGCTAAAGCGGGACCCGGGCTGGAGCACAAAAAAAACTGTTTTTGGAAGTCAATACAAATAGAATCATTAGCGAATTTAAGCAGAATAATGATCATTTTTACAAAAAGAAAAATACCGTTGAATTGCAATTATTGTGATCACCGATTTAATAGAACGCATAGTCAATCGATCTTTCTGGATTCCTTCAATGGATCACAATCAGATACAATGTAATGAAATGAGATTACATGAGTCTATGTACTTGTATGTGTATCAAGATTTATCGGCATTACAAAAATTGATATTGGTTGAAAAAAATTCGTGGGTAATCACTTTTTGAATTTTAGAGCAATTGTCCAATGACTCTATCGCTGACTAAGTCACTGGTTGATAACGCTAAATAAAGTACGAAAATGACGGTTCATTTTCGAAAGTGATACTGATATCATTGTCTGCTTACATAAGCAGTAACGACTTCTATCGAGAAAACGTCCGATTCAACTATTATACTACGAAGTTCTCCATGTAGCACTTTTTTATGAATTTGCAGTTTACTTGAATTTTTTAAACCCATGCATTGATCAACATTTTGTATCACCCAAGAGATATTTTTGTTTATCATTCATATAGAACAAGTACCTGGAAAACCATTTGTAATAATCGAAATGGACATACTTTTAAAAACAAAAGCAAGCAAAATCATCTATAAACTTTATCAGTTTCTTTAAGTTAGGTGTGTCAAAGTTCAATGATGTTATTTTCAACAATATTTTTATCATCTCGAATGATGAAAGACGTTGAGAAAATGAACAAAGAGAGAGGGTGTGGGTGTAGGTGTGGATGCTTCTGTTTCCTGCGATGTCAGTCACACCCACAGCCCCACACCCACCCTTTCTGTTAAAGATTAACTGTAGTACTTACAAGAAATTCTATTTTATTCAATAAAAATATAAAACACTAGGTCACATTATTCAATTTATTGATTCTCTTCAAGGTTTTATTTCATTTCTTATTTTATCTAATCATCAACAAATTCATAAACAAGATTTTTTCCATTAGCATTTTTAAAGAAATAATTTCTTGTATTTAAATGTTTGTTCATCATTATATATTCGAGCTTTATTTCATATGATTTATCTGATCATATCTATATCCTACATAAAGTATTATATTTTTTGTTCTAAAAAAGAGAGCGTACAACAATCTATTTTTTTGGAAATTGTTTGCATTTATTTAAATTATAGGATTTATTGGCACTCATCTGAATTTATCTAATGATCTCATATAACCAAATGAGAGTTATAGTTCTGAAAAGTTAGCCTTCACTCTCAGCTAGTTCTTCGCCATAAGTATCGTTCTCATCTCATCCACAAGCAGATGTCTGTCTTACCCTAATTCATTGCTTTTTATAAGATGTATACCGGGATTAATGAGCCATTCCGCATAAGTCACGGCCTACCCTCACCCTCTCCATGATTCTATATGGACTAAAAAGATGACCGTCCTACTACATTCGTACATGCAGACAGTAAGAGACCGTGATTTTGCCTCAGTTAAACCATTATATTTCGTCGTATATAGTCGTTTAAGACTGCACTTATTCAATTTGGTTTTCATTGACTATTTTCATTCTTTCTAAACATGTCATAAAGTCGATCGGAATCTTGAGTTTTGATACGAAATCTTGTAAGACTCGGTTCAGTTTGATCTCGAATGATTTGAGTGTGGTGCATATATAGATTTTTTTATGTTCTCCTTCGAAATTTTTAAGTTAAAGAGAATGATTACTCTATATATATTAAAACAATTTCAAATAATGAAAACAATTAAATTTTATATAACTCATATCATTATTTAAAAATTAAAATTAAAATTAAAATTCATCATCAAATTGATCATTTATTACCAGACAAATTATTTTATTTAATTGAAAAAATTAAAAACAATTTTCATATTGAATCATATGCTGTAGGACAAAGTATATTAGAAAAAATGATTTTTTTCAACATGATTAAATTGAACCAAAAAAAGAATGGCATAAACAATACATTTGCCAACGAAAAAGATAAACACCATTTTTAGAATTATTGATAATTGGTACAATTATTTATCTATCTTTTTATATGACATAAATCATGACTTTGTAAAATCACTACAATCAATCATTAATATCATATCGAAAATGAGCTCATTCTATGGTTTCTTAATTTTCATCTAGATGCTATAATTAAATTTGAAAAGATATTTACTTTTTTTTATGTCAACAATTTTTGAACGATAGTAATAAATTTGTTAAATTGCAAATAATATTTCAACCATATATACATAAATAAAGCAAAGGAATAATGACATTGGATAAACGTTCAAACATTTATTGAATAGATATCAATGTCGACGTTTTTTTCTCTTTTACTCAGAGTCATTCATATAGAATAAGAGAAAGAAACTCGAAAAAACAAAGCTCGTCAGACAAAATAGACGAACGTATATCATTGTTCATGTTATCATATATAAGTGAATATGAAAACGTAAGAGCCATGAAGAAATGAGTATCAATGCTTTTGAATTTCTGCCTGTCGACGTTTTCTTTGAAATTTTTGGTTATTTATCTCCAATTGAAATTCTTCGACCATTTTCATCATTGAATAAACGTTTTTCATCAATTGTTATGTATGAGTATATGTGGCACATCCATATTGGTAAAAATAGAATGTCGTTATCAATATTCAATGATTTTTGTCAAAATGTATTAAGATTGATAGGAATTCGAGTTGTATCATTACGTTTAACATTAACTAACATTATTGGTGGATGGTCACTTATTTCATCATCTTTAAAATATCATAAAATAATGTCACTGAGACGTCTTCATCTGATTGATATTCAACCACATGAATTTGATAAATTATTAAGTAATCATTTAATAAAACAATTACATACTTTACTGGTCGATTTGACGGAAGATAGCCTGTTCAACAATCAAGTAGTGGAAGGAGCATACCTAGCGAAGGTAAGAAAGCAAAATTGATTCGAGTTTATTATGAACTTTGTTGTCTTTTGTTTGAAAGAAAAACCTATGAGAATATTTCATTTATTTATCTTTATAAAAGGTGTGTTCATGTCTGCTCGCTGTAACAATCTTTCGACTTCCATTTTATTTTTGTCGTAGAAGTCGTGAACAATTACCAAAATATTCGGCACCATCATTGATGACTTTACCAAAGTTATCAGATACAAATCATCTTCGTACATTGACAATAGGCATAAACACGTCAGCATTTCTAGAACGCTTATTAAAATGTATACCTTTTATTGAAAATCTGTCTGTTGGTATACAAGATGAAGAGTTGTGCAATGAAAATAAGTTTGATACTCAAACGTGAGTTACATACTGTGATCAGTAAAAATATTAATGAAATGAAACTTTTTAGATTAGCTGTTGCTGTTGATGCTCGTTTTCTGTGTCGTCTATCACGTCTTAGCTTGACCTGTATGAATACGATAAGTTTCTATCGAACCATGGCACTTTTAGTATCTGTGTTGGGTCAATTAAGACATCTCTCACTAAAATTAGATATAGACGCGAAACTGCCTGATTCATTGGTCATATCAGGTGACACTATTCAAAGATTATGTATTGATCGTCTCAATCCATTGGCAACGTTTACTCTTAATATAATGGCCATTATCAACAACGACATGAAGGATAAAATGATCCTCAATTCATATTTTAAAGCTCCATTTGCTAATCGACAACGACCAAAGGTAGTTATCCATGATAATTTTTCTTTGAATATTTCTGATCACAGTTATTGGTTTGTCGTGTACACTTTACCGTACAATGAAATTATATTTAGAAATTCTTTTTTTGGTAGACATCTTCAAACGTACGTATAAGAAATTTGTTTATTAGAAGGACTTTTAGAGATCTTTTGTTTCTATTTAGACCTCAAATGTCGATTGAAGGAATGGACTTGTTTCTACTTGCTGATGAGTTATTCATCAGCATTGTTCAAAAGAATAAATATCTCTCTAGTCTCGGTGATTGTGAAAATTCCGTATCGTCATCGATTCCATGGTCATTGATAAGAAAAATTAGAATTAATAATGGCGCTTTTGTTAGCGCAGCTGAATTAGAAAGCATATTACGAATGGCTTATAATGTAGATACTCTCAAAATATATGATGATAAGGGTACTCTACCTCGACTAATATTACGTAACACCGATCATCTCGGAACTCGTATTAACCAACAAGTGAGTTTTTCTATTGTAAAAGAGAAATCTCAGTTATATTAGTTCGGTGAGAAGTTCAATTTTAATTGACACTTATTTTTCATTTTAATTAAATATTTTTGAAAAACTTATTTAAATATTATAATGAAAGAAAAGTAGTTTTACAGAATTGAGATATTGATTTCTATTAAAATAATAAAGATAACTTTTTATTTCTCAGATTCGATCACTTTATATGGATGATTTCACATTAACATTTTTTAATGCTGAACATTTCTGCACACTACTCGTTCGTCAATTACCTTATCTAAAAGAACTTAGGCTTCTTATCTGTGATTCATATGATAATCACTGTTGGATACCATCACATATTCTTGATGGTGAAAATAAATCTACAAAACGTATTATTAAACTTATTCATTTTCTTGTTGATCATTTACCACAACTTGTTTCACTTTATATGAATTTTCACTACTGGAATTCGTCTGAAACACCCTGTTTTCCACATCTAATTCGACGACAAATACAAGAATTGTCACTTAATCGACCTTATCGACTACGATGTTCTTCGAAAAGGATTCAAATTTGGCTTTAGTACTATATTCATTATGTTAGGATATATTGTTATTGGGAATTTTTGTATTTAAATATATATATCAGTAAAATTGAAACATATTCAATGCGAACGATTTGCTAGTGAAATTTCGAAAATTGGTCAGAATGTCATTTTTTGTATCTGATATATGAAACTAATCGTTTAAAGATAAACTAATTTGACTCATTCAATAAACTAAAGTCAGCATTCCAATCAATGAAGAGGGTGTGGGTGTGGGTGTCTGTCTTTGGTTAACAACCACACCCACAACATTCAGCATGAGAGCAAAAAGACGATCCTATACATCATTTCACGGATGACAAGAGTGATCGCTTCTATACAACCGATAGAGGTGAAAATAAAGATCGAATTCTAGTATCAAGAAGAAGTTGATACATCAACCTCACCCACACTCTCAAGATAAGTCATATATTATCTACAGAAAGAAAAACACGATTTTTGTTGTCGTCTGAGCTGTGCATAGAGAAAGAGAAAAAAGGACACATGTTGGTTTTTACCCACTAAATTGCAAATATTTTTGTTGGCTCTTAAAATTTTTTCAATCATTTTATTTCTATACGAAACAGATACAGTGGATATTACAAAGTAATATTATGTTTTTGCATACATGTATTTTATATTATTTTTGATAGTATCGTCGATCATTTCATCGATACTACTATTTGAAAGATGAAAATCGAAGATCTTGCTAATGAAGTTTTCTACGAAATATTCGAATATCTCGATTATTTTCAAAGTTATGAAATCTTTTCTAATCTTAATAAACGTTTTCAAGATTTATTTATCAATTCAACCTGTCCAATTAAAATCAATCTTGGATCAATATCTAAATCAACTTTTGAGTCTTATTTTCAAAATATAATTCGTCCACATCAACATCGCATTCGGTCGCTTCATTTATCAAATTCATTTATCATTGATTTCTTTCTTTTATCCGTTTCTCTTATTCGAAAATTAACTCATCTTCAAACATTTATTATTAAAGGTATTCTATCAAGTTATTTAGAAAATCTTTTTAATGATCTATCCGTCTTACCTAATCTTTCTTCATTAGTCATTATTTGTAAGTATCATGTTCCAAAAAGAAATCATTTATATGAACAAATATTTCAATTATGTGCACTAAAATATTGTAAATTCTCAATACAAGAATACCATCATTCTGAATATTTACCTATTCAAACAAATCAATTTAGTCCTATTACACATTTAGTTATTGGGGATATATTTGATGTTAATGAATTCTTCGCTCTTCTTTCATATGTTCCTCAGCTTCATCGTTTATCGATTCATAAACTATCTACATCCATGTATACACAAGTAAATATCTGTTCAAGAATTCCAAATCAATTAACACATGTTTCTTTGGATCTTGAAAATGTTTACTTTAATGATTTTGAACCATTGATTAAACATGTTTTTTATCAAGTTCAAGTTTTACATATTTCAACACCACCAGATCGAACATATCTAATTGCAAATCGATGGGAATCGCTTATTCCATTGTATATGCCACATCTAAGAATTTTTGATCTTCATCATCGTGTATATACAACCAAGACAGAGGGTGAGATTTATATGGATTTGATCGATCAATTTGAATCTTCATTTTGGTTCGAACGACAATGGTTTTTTGCGTATCATATGAAACTATTTCGAGAATATTGTGAAATATATTTCTATTCAACCGATCCATATAGGTATGAATCAATTTATTTATTGATATGATAGAAGAGTTTTTTTTGTTCTCTTTATTTAAGGAAAAGACAGTTCACATTCGAATTCGAATTAAGGAAAAGAACTACTCCATCTTTGAAACAAACCCAGATGAATTCAGTACATCATCTTCAGTTACAAGATGAAAACTGTTTATTTAATTGGACAAGTTATTTTCCAAATGTTACTCAACTTACTCTTAAACGTAATCCTTTTGAAGAACAGAAATATATTTCGCCAATTATTCTTAATCGTCTTCTTCCTTTGGAACAAATTACTGAACTAAACACTTATGTTTCTCATTGCTATTTCAAAGGTTTAATACAACTAATTATTTCCTTGCCCAATATTCAAAAGTTATGTCTTAACCGACCTGGATTTGATAAAACAGATGTGAACTTACTAAAATCAGATGAGACTTTCCATGTGATGTCTATTACAAACAAAATAAAATATGTCACAATTGCAATACAGCAGTGTTCGTTTGAAGATATGAAATTACTGGTGAATCTTTTCCCACAACTAGAGCATCTGACCATATGTATGGCTAAAGGATGTTTGGTAGAAATTGTGCAATATTTATTATCAAAAAATAATGATAAAACCCCTTATTTACATTCATTATGGACCGAAAGTTTTGATTTATCTTCATCTAAAAAGATAATGAGTCTAATTCAATCACAAAATATACCCATTGATTGTGTGACGGATAACAGTCGCAACATTCGCTTATGGTGGTAATGGAAATCAGACACAAGCAGGATTGCCAGATCGTCCGAATTAGTCGGAATTTTCCGAATTTCCTAAGTTTTTCCGATTGCCTTCCGACTTTCCGAATTTATCCGAATTCTTGAATTTTTTCCGATTCTTTTCGAATTGTAATATTTTTTTTTAATTTCCCTTCCATTATAATTTTCCATATAATTTTTGATAGATTTCATATGGCGCTATGTTTATTTTCTTATAATCATTGGATAATTGATTTTATTCTTAAAAAATAGGA